TTGAAGACCTTAATACCTCTCACCTGAATTCCTGAAATAGTTGCTGGATATTTCTTGAAGCTGTTTTCCATACTCCTATCCTAGTTAAGGTTCTAAGTCTCAGATCTGACCATGACACTCTTCTGTTGAAAACTGATGGTTCCCATTGCCTGCAGATTAAAATGATCCAGCTCTGTCTCCACCTACTCCTCTCCCACAAAGATTTGTCATTCCCTAAACATGCCATTTGTTTGCACACCTTTTTGCTGTTTGTCTATGCTGTTTCGTTTGTCTTAACTGTCTCCATTTTCATTTCTCACCTCTATAAATACAATTTATATTACAAAGACTAGCTCAGTTATCTTCTTTTAAAGCTAGTGTTTAAACATCTCTATTCCTAGAGGGTGATCTTGAAGGTGGGGACAGGTATTTAGCACATTTTATGCCACTGAAAATGTTGCACTGAGTGGTCCATTAGAAATGTTTCCTGAATGGATACGTAACTGACAGTAGGTAATTTTTTGATAACTGATTTAAGACATGTATAAAACAAAGTTTTATAAAAATAGGCTAAAAATGAGAGGTATATAAGAATTGTGTAATTATATTAAAGATGGGCTTTTACATAACCACTCATTTTTCACACCAGTTGTATCAAGTTCACTGGTGTTTAATATTTAATATGCCCCTGTCTTTGTGCTTGATAGAGTAAGGGTTGTCAGTGAAGTACAGGTTGTATGTGGTGCCTGATGCTTCAGAACCGGGCTTTTGTTTGTGGGTGTTTAGTAGTTGGTAGGTGTTGCTGTGTTTAAAGGAGGCAGTATATTGTAGCAATGGAGATTGGGTTTTAGAATCCCAGCATCTTGAAGTGTGAGGTCAGACATCTACTAGCTGGGTATCTTGGACGGGTTATTTTACTTATTAAAATTTTACTTTCAGAAGCCCATGGTTTCCTTATGTGTAAAATAAGAATAATACGACTACTTAACCTTATGGGGTTTTTGCAAGGATCAAATGAGAATTCATGCAGAGTACTTGGCTTAATATCTGCCACATGGTTTTAGAGATTTTTTTGGTATTATTTATATTGAAAATGAAGCGTTCAAGTGTTAATTATTTTTTGGTTTATTAGTTGGGTTTCAGACCTGATGTCACTTAAAAAAAAATAGTTTTCCTTTGCATCAGATTTGCTAATGCAGTTATGGGCTTAAACTTGAAGAGGACAAAGTGTTGAAAATTTATATCCCTGTGAGAGGAAGAACTCAGAACTCTACTCTCGATTTCTCTCACAATTGAAAGAAATAACGAATTTTGTTGCTGGGTTTTATTGTGGCTGTGGCTGTGGCTGCGGCCGTCACTGGGAGTCCTGATCACAGGTAAGGTGTGCTGATGTCACCACCTGGTAGGATAGCCTCAGAACTTGCTTTTTTAAGCGATTATACTTGTAGAAATATTTGAAGAAAAAATTAAAAACCTCACAGTATTGCCAAAGTTATTTTCTGAAACATAGACCTGATGAGGTCATCCCCCTCTTAAAATCCTTCAGTGGTTCCATGCCTAGGGTGAAAGAAAGGTTTCTTAGCTTGACAAACAAGCCTTGCCACAACGGGGCCTGCTGACCTTTCATTCTCTCCTCCCATTGGGCCCCTGCGCTGTACCTTCTAGAAGTGGCAGGGCTCAGCTACCCCTTAACCCACCCTGTTTTCTCATGCCTCCTTGGCTATTTGTAAACTCCTCTTCACTCTTTAAAACCCATTACTATTTGTGGGTGATGTGAAGTTGGTAGAGAAGTTAACATTTTGGGGTAAAAGAATTAGGACCCCAAAAGATGCCGACATTAGGGATTATGGGCCAAGTCATACATGAAGAAATACAGTGGAGATGAGTGCAGGTAATGAGTCTTATACAGACTTACAGAGATAGGGGTCAGCAGCTGCATATTTGGAAGAAAGTAATATTTTTTGTTGATTGCAAGAGTGATAAAATAATCTGAGGCTTTGTTTGTGGTTATAGAGTGTTCAGAATGAAGAAGGGGATAGTCTTGTCCATTTCAGGCTAGTTAGAACATGCCTGCAACATAGGGTGCGGTTGCAGAATGTTGAGAGATGAGCGAGGAAGCTGTGAGGGCCTGGGGTCATGTCTGACAGTGTGAGCAGTGCCATCTTGAGTGTACTTGAGGACACTAACATCTTGGGTGCTTGCTCTATTCCAGGCACTGTTCCTCACATATATAATCTCTTAATCCTCACAACCATCCTTTGAGGTAGGTGCCGTTGTTCTCTTTATGAAGAGGACTCGAAGGGCCTGGAATCATTTTACTTACCCAAGCGTCAGCATGTAACTCGTCACACGAGGGACGAGGAGGAAAAGCACAGCTATTTTTTAAAACAGCCAGCCGAGCACTGTGCTAGCTCTGCACTTCACGTGCGGTCTTTAATCCTCAACAACAGACCTACTTGGGCATTATTGTTACTACCTTTTGACAAATGAAGAAACTGGTTAAGTGGCTTGCTGTCTTGATAAATGATAGAGGAAGGATATATCCAGGTCTTTTAAAGACTTTGGTCAGCACTGGTCACATTATATTTTTAATTCCATGTGTTGTCTTGCTTCAGAAGGCAGCTTAGCCACCAGTGGGGAACTGGTGCCAGATTAATAACTTTCTGGCTGCTAGAATCCACACATGAAATAGGCTCATTTGAATGTTTGGTTCCCTGTGAGCAGCAGCGGTGAGGCTCAGCCGGCTTGTGATTGGGTGGAGATGTCCCAGGAGCTCCCAGGCGTTGGGGATGGAGTGGGGGAGGGAGGGAGAGGGGCAGAGGGGCAGCCGTAGGCTCCAAGAACGCGAATGAGCTTTCCATGCGTGGAATTTTGTGACTATGGTTAAGAAAGTGTTGAACGCGAGAATTAGTAAAAAGTTGTTTTGGCCAATGATTTTTCTTTTAGGAATAGATTTATATATGTATATTTTTTATTTCAGCTTTATTGAGATACAGTTAATGCATACAATTTAAGATATTTTAACTGTATATCAGTTATATGTATACATTGTGAAAGGATTTCCCCCCACCTAGTTACTTAAAACATCTTTATCTTCTTTTTTTGGTGAGAACATTTAAGTTCTCTTTTAGCAAATTTCACTTAATAAAATACAGTGTTATCAACTATAGTTATCATGTTTTATGTTAGATCCTCAGACCTAATTAATCTTAGTGGCTGAAAGTTTGTACCCTTTTACCAACATTTTCCTGTTTCCCCTGCCCCTTACTTCCTGAAATCACTTTTCTATGAGGTTTTTTTTTTTTTTTTTTGAAGATTCTATGTCTAAGTGACACTGTGCAGTATTTGTCTTTCTTGGCCTGGCTTCTTTCACTTAGTATCATGCCCTCAAGGCCATCTGTGTTGTCACAGATGACAGGATTTCCTACTTTCTCATGGCTGAATAATATTCCACTGTACACTACCTCTCTATCCGTTCATCTGCTGATGGACACTCAGGTTGTTTCCATCTTCCTGTTATTCTGTCTTTGCACTGGCTAGGTGGCAAAAAAGGACAGATAGACCTTATCCAAAGGTGACCTTGGGTGAACCTTACTCCTATTCATAAAATGAGGGTGTTGTGCAAATAGGTCCAGCCTTTGGATAAGCTTTTGGGCAATAACATTTTTTTTAATGTCTGTAAGTTTTAATTTTGGAGTTATACTTCTGAGGACCTCTCCTTAGGAATTAGTTTATTTATTTATTTATTTTTTAATGGAGGTTGTGTTTATTAGCACTACATTTTACTATTATACATGATGTCTTATTGTTTGGGCATATTAAATATCTACAATGAATACATCTATATATGCATGTTAACAGGGCTAAAATTGTATTAGTCTTAGTAAAAAAAAAATAGACACAATCATTAGAATTAAAATGCTAGTTTTTAAAATAAAGTACATTATTCAAATTAAATTGCGGAGAAAAATTGGATATGAGACTGCTTATATGTACCGATTACTATGCTTTGACTTGACCCATTTATTGAAAAATGTCAGTTACATGAGGGTTAATATGGGCACACCAATTACTGCAGTAAATAACTGATTAGATTGTTCTAATATTGACTTATATAAATGTGTTAGTTTTAGAAGAGGGGCTAGGAGGATCAAGATTCCATGTGGAGAAATATTTCATATAATGTATGTCAGTATTTAAAAATGTAGTCTATTATTCTGCATCTGCAGGCTAGCCTTTCTCTCTGTAAAGAACTGATGCTACACTGAATTTGAAGATTGATTTCTAGGGAGCAGCTATTCCTTTTGTAAAGTTCTGTTGTGACTTGCCCTACTTAAAACATAGCTGCCTTTCCTAGTTGTGATATATCTGTGGATAACTACTGTTACGCATATCTTGGTATATAATGAAAAACTGAAAATTCTATGCTACATGCAATTGACTTTTTCTTTGGCCTGATCAATGAAAAAATGGTAAAATAGTAACATATTCTATACTCAGTCTGACCTAATTCTCATGCTAACAGATTCTAGGTGATAAACATTGAGTATGAATATTGAAAATGTTTACGTGGCTGCAAGATTCTCATTTATAAAGACCTCATATAAAAATTTTGTTCCTTAAGAAACAAAATATACTCCCTCCAAGATACAGGATTAAAAAGGAGGTATGTTGTTTTCACTTGAAAAACGTAAGCCTTATTTGTCCCATTTCACATTTCTGCTTTGCACAGTTAATATGAATCACACCAAGCTCAGACTGCCTCCATATACTTCCATAATGCTAATTTGAAAATATTCTTCCTTGAAAATACCACCACCTAGAATATAAACTTTAGAAAACACCGTGTAGAGGAACAAATATTTCACTTTATATTTTACATTACAACTTATGTACATGTGATTTCATAGGTGTTAATTTAATGGAATTTATGTTGGTAAACTGGTTTTTTAAACATTTTTCATATTTAAGAAATTTGCTTTGGTTATCCTCTTGGGTGAATGACAGTCTTCTCTAGGATATTAACTCCCTTTAATGTATCCCTTCAGACCTGTTGCTGTACATGATGGAATACTTGAAAAGCTGTACTTTGTGTTAGCAGTCTGAACAGCCACAGGGTCCTTCAGGTTCCCTTCCCAGGGCAGTTTCCCACATAACCACCGCAGCAGGCAGTAGCCAAGGATTTCAAGGTCACTTCGTCTGGACAGAGCTACTCCCTTGTGGGCATCCAAGCTGGTAAACTCTATTGTCCCGTTATGGCCTTTCCTAGGATTTTCCTGATAGTGTTTGTGGTTCCCATTAGGACAATATCTGTAGGCAAGTCCATAATCTGCAAGATAAACCTGATCTGGATTTCTGTAACCCAAAAGTAGATTTGCTGCCTTTATATCACCATGAACATACTCATTTTCATGTATAAATTCCAGTACATCCAACATTCGGATACCTAGCTGCAGGACAGTTGACTTTTTAAAAGTACCATTCTGGTCTGAGATCTTCTGCAAATCTTTTCCTAGTCTTTCCATTACCATAAATCTGTAACTTCTTCCCTTGAATTCAGTAAGACCAGATCCATAAAACAGTGGAATTCCTAAATAATCAAGTTGTTTGAGTTCTATCCATTTTTTGATACAGTCTCTTTTTGCAACTCTTTGATAAAATTCAAGTTCTGAAAATAACGGGCCATTTTCTTGATATTCCACTTTTATTACATGTCTTGCATCTTTTTCTGGTTTATTCATGGGGAAAGCTAAGTATATCAGTCCAAATCCTCCAGATCCAATCATCTTGCCCAGCACCCATTGGTTTCCTTCCCCATCATGCAAAACCCTCCCTTCTGGAAGTGGAGCAGGAGGTCTGTATCTCTCATTTCTTCCTGGTGGCATTACTTCGCTTTGGCAGGGAGCCCGCCCGGACGGGGCCTGCGGCGCGGGCGGGCGGGCCGAGAGCGGGGTGTGGGACTGCCGGGTCCCTCCCGGACCCCAGGGCTCGGAGCTGGAGAAGGCCGACCCCGGCCCTTGATGTGCCCGCCGCCAGGCCGCGCGTGACGCCTCCCGCTGACCTCTCGGGGCGGGCGGGGCCAAGGGACAGGAATTAGTTTTAAATACAGAAGAACACTGCACAAAGATGGTCCTTGCAGTATTATTTAATGGTTGAAAACATTTAGAAATGACATAAATGGCCAACACACATGAACTGATTAAGTACTTGGTGTAAATTCGGGTCTTTAGAAACTATATAATAGCATGGAAAATATAAGATGAGAACTCTGTGTATGTATTATATCCGGGGTGGATGAAAAAAAGGCATTTGCCTTAGAAGTGCATCAAGTTCCTGGCTCTCACAGTTTGTGATTCTGTGATTTAGTGGCAGAGAGCAAGATCTCAGATGGGCTGAAGAGCACAGAAAAGAGGATTTCTTGTATCTTTTTGAAATTATAGTAGAATATAAAGTTCTGCTAATATTAAGTTATAGTAACACAGCACCCTACTTAATGCTGCTAATTTCTCAAAGCAGTTTGGTCCTAATTTTACTTATTCTTGTAAACAAACCAGGTGACACTCTGTTGTGAACCCGAGCTTAGGATGCAGGGTAAGCCACACACATGATAACTTGGAGCACAGCTCTGCATTCGGGGTGGTTGTTTAGAGATACTTTTGTATTTTGCCTGTTTATTCTAGCTTTCTGTCTCTGATTATCCCTTTTCACCATATCACAATTTGCTTTTCTTCCTCCAACCTGACAGTTGTGTAATGTGCAAGGTAATCACTCCACCGTAGAAAACTCAAGTCTAGCTGTTAACTAGGGCTGTTTTATAGCAGTTAGACTAGGGGAGGCAAAAATGAAAGATTGTAGGGGATCCACTGCGGTCCCTCCTTTCACTGTGATTTTAATCTAGTCGTCTCAGAGAAGAGGGGAACCCAGCCAGCTTTGGTAACTGGCTGTGAGTCAGGGCAGAGGCACCCGCTGTGCTGCTCATCCATCGTCTTCCCAACGTGTTACCTCGTTTTGAGGAGAAAATACATAGTTTTTTCTTCATACTATTACATGGTAGAAGGCTGTTTTGGGCCTAGACTAGAGTTGTTGTAGGTTTGTCCCTGTTAATGAGAACATAAGTTAGGCTGTCCCCTGAGAGCTGGGGTTGCCAGGAGCCATCTGCCATATTCTGTTTAGCAGTAAAATATTACTGGAGGGATGATTATATGAAATGTGTCCTTGGACTACAACTATTTTCCATGCCAACGACATATATCCTTTTCATATTGCCTTTCTGGTCTTCAGGCTCCTGCAGAGGTATATTTTGGATTTCGTAGCTGTTACAAATTGGCATCTAATTTAGTTACCATGGCAACTCTTCTGGGAAACTCATTTGTTGTCCACCCCCAACACACACATTTAAATTCTGCTGAAAGAAAAGCCAGAGGAGAATAGTAATTATTGTTAGGCATAGGAAATACCCAGAGAATTCTCTGGCCCATTCATACATTCAGCCAGTACTTATTTAAGTACCTACTGTGTGTCAGACAGTATGCTAGCTGCTTTAAAAGTAGAGTAGATTTGAAAGTGAGGTTGAGTGACTATTCTAGAAAACTTGAGAAAAACCGGAATCATTTTTTAAAGATTCTGAGCAGTATCAGTTTGAAAGGGTAGAATTAATACAAGAAATTTTATTCTGAATTATTAAAGTATGATAAATTCAAGATTTATATATCTTTCAAGGAATTCTATTAATATAAATTATATGAAAATATATACATGGGACTGTAAATACATTTACATATTATTTGGCCTGTTTTTCTACTGGTTTGTTAGTCTTCATATAAATTTTCATAGATTGTATGTGTGTGTGTGTGTATGTGTGTGTATGTACGTGTAAAATATGGCATACTTAAATGTTTCTTCCAGTTTTATTTGCCTTTTAATTTGAACTTCTGTGTATCAGTGAACATTATGTTTCATTTTTATGTTGTCTTATTTGAAAATAAATCCAGTTTTTACTTCAGTCTGCTGTATCTTTGGATTTTTTTTTTTTTAATTCAGCTTTTCAAAGGTTTGTCGCTAGTGAAACAGACCAGGAAACATCTATGGTTGGGGAGGTTTTCTTTTTTCTAGTATGGTGAAGAATGTGGGGATAATTTCAGCCCTGTAAAATTTGAGTAGAATAATTTTTAGTTAGGGGTTTTTAATCTGGGGCCAATGAAATCTCTGAAGTTAACATATTTAAGTACACTTGACCCTTGAATAAGCTGGGTGGCCAACCAGCCTGAGCAGTTGAAAATCCACGTATAACTTTAGACTTACCCAAAAACTTAATAGTAATAGCGTACTGTTGACTGGAAGACTTACTGATAACGTAAGCAGTTGATTAACATGTATTTTATATGTTATATTTATTATATACTGTATTTTTATAAAGTATAAAGTAAAGTAAGGAAAATGTTTTCCAAATTGTTGGAAATCTCAAAAAATTTTTCCAGTATATTTATTGAAAAAATCTTATCTGCTTATAAGTGGAGCTGCACAGATTAAACCCATGTTCAAAGGTCAGCTATATGTGTACATTTTTCTGGGGAAAGATCTATCTATAGCTTTCCTTAGATTCAAAGAATTCTGTCACTCAAAAAATGGTTTAAAAGCATTTTCCTAAGTGATTTTTAGGTACCTGTGTTACCTGTGTACCTTTATTTGTGTAGGTAGAAAATACAAGTCATGCAAATAAACTTTGCTTTGTTTTATCTTGGGCTTATCTTGATATGCAATCTTGTAAGAGGCATGTGAGGGAGAAAACACAGTTTTCCCTTCCTTTCCCCTTTGCATCTTCCTCCCCCACTGTGAAAGAGACTTAGGAATTCCTTCCTTCCACTGGAGTTTTCTGAAGTATTTTAGCTGAGATAATTGACTATTTTGGTGACCTCAGAACAACCTTAGAATCTGCAGCTAGAAGTTCTGAAGTCTGAAACTGGAAAAACTTCAGTAAATACAAATTTCTGAACAGTTGAGATGGGGGCTTCAATCACAAATGGTTTTTCTTAGGAGTTCTAAGGAGTAACTTCAGGACTGAGGGAAAGCGCCTGGGATTCATCGGGTAGTCAGGGCCTGGGGACCAGCAGCTGTTTCAGCTGCTGCTGGAGAGGAAAAGCAGGGTAGACAAGAGTGGCATTTATGCTTAGGAACTTTCCTAAGTTCCCTGCCTCTGGGATCTAGCAGGGCCAGGACAAGGATTATGTGAAATTGGGTCTTAAAAGAAGATTGCTTATGTTTAACTTAAACTTCTTCAAGGAAAATGGACATTAAGCTCAACATCTCTAAGGAACAGCTCAGGCTTCCCTCGTTTCTCACGTCTTCTCTTCTTTTGTGCAGGTGGATGGAAGCATGCCTTGGGGAAGATCTGCCTCCTACCACAGAACTGGAGGAGGGACTTAGAAATGGGGTCTACCTTGCCAAACTAGGAAACTTCTTCTCTCCCAAAGTGGTGTCCCTGAAGAAAATCTATGATCGAGAGCAGACCAGATACAAGGTGAGTCCTTCCTTGCTTGGTGCTGAAATGTCCATACATTGGAGAGAGAAGGGCAGCATACTTTATCCTGTGCAACAGTTACGGAGAAATATGTGTGAGAGTGTTTGGCCCAACAAAATATAATCCCAGGAACAGTGGAGAAAATAATGTAAAGTCAAGATTTAATAGTAAGAAAAAATTAGCTGTCTGTATCTCTGGTACAGTTCTGACTATGGTGTGTATCTAGAAATTTTCATGGTACTTGATGAATTTTTTATTTCTTAGGTAGAGGAGGTAACCAGGGTAATCACTGTTTTAAGTCTGATTTTAACCAAGTGCTGAGATTTGTTGGCAAATTGAAAGCAATAGCAACTTGAGGGAAAAAAGATCACCCTGTGATATTAGACTTCAAGGTAAAATGGGAAAGGGATCCAATTTCAGAAAATTGAGGTAAGTGAAAGGGTTTGATTCTTGTGACCCAAGACCTTAAAAAAGAAGACTGCTTAATTAAATTGGGATGTTGACAAGGATCCAGTTCTGTGTGCAGAGCTTCTGTGGGAAGCTTGCCTATGAGCTCTTAGTTGAAAAAGGATGAGTATAAATGACAGTGGAAGATCGCAAACCCAGTGCCTGTGTTAGAGCGGTCAGTTACAGGAATTGGGCCAGAAGTCAACAATGAGCTGAGGATGAAGACAGAATCAAAAGAGGTTTTTATGCTTTATATTTAGATTCAAAGGAAACAAGGAACCTGTAGGTCCTAAGCCAAAATCAGTATCCCAGATAGAAAGTTTTCTTAATCAAAACGCAAAGGTTTATATATTGAATTTTAAATAAGTGGTTATTCTGAAGACAGCTCTGGCACTGTTCTGTTGAGAGTCTACAAAATGTGTGACAGAATAGCAAGACATTAGAAGAGTGGGGACTGTGGTAACAATAAAACAGTGCCCTTCTTAATAGACATAGAGGTGTAGAGGGGGATGTTTGTATGTATAGTATGAAAACCCTGATTGATATAGTTAATAATCTGGCATTGAGTGAATATCTTCTATCCTCCAGACACTACATGGAGTACTTTATGGACATCTTTTCATTTAGTCTTTACAACATCCATATAAAGTCAGCATTACAGATGTGGAAGCTCAGAGTCAAAGGGTGAAGTGACTTGCCCAGTGTCACTAGTAATGACCAAGCCAGGAACTGAGTCCAAGATAATTTCATTCCAAAGACCATGTTCTGTTGAGCACCCTGTACATAGGGAAGAGCCTCCAGGTGGTTCTTAAGTGAGAGGAGCTGAGATGTCAATTTGGTTTTTTGGGATCAGACTGTGAACATAATGCTGCAGGTAGACCTTAAGTTTAAGGGGACCATGTAAAATTTCACAGGGGAACTTTTGCAGGGAGAGTTCTTAGTATTTGTTTTCAATATTGCCAACAGTGCCTCATGGTCTTTCTTTGTTCTAGGCAACTGGCCTCCACTTCAGACACACTGATAATGTGATTCAGTGGTTGAATGCCATGGATGAGATTGGATTGCCTAAGGTAATTTACACGATACTCATAGTTTTGACTTAGATCTGGCTATTTTGGCATAAATAGTTTTCATTCTACCTATTAAATTATTCTCAATTAAATCTTTGGTGATTTTTTTTCTTTTTAAAAATACTGAAGCATCTCTTTCTTCCATTGGTTTAGGAAATAATTTTCTTTTTCTTTTATGTTCTTCATCCCTACTTGATCTCACCCTAGAGAAATTCCCTGTGTCACATCAAATTGTAGACTTAAAATTCACATATCATGAAATTCAAAGTATGTAATTCATTGTTTTTTATTTATTCACAAGGCTTTAACACTAAAATTTGACTTTCAGAAATCAAGGAAATATTTTAGAAATGTCATCTTCCAACATCAGAATAACTGTATCTGTAGGGAATAGGAAAGGTCATTTAACATTTCAAATTGTAGAAGCAATATAATGATACTGAGATATGGTTTTTGGTGATGGTAGTTTTTCTTGAAAAGAGCTTTGTTGAGGTATAATTGACATTCTAAAAATGGCAAATATTTAATGTATACAATTTGATGAGTTGGACTGATGGCTGTCGTTCTGATATGGGAGTGTGCATATATCACTTGCGTGTTTTGCTCAGGAGTTTATTTACTACTGCTTTTATTGAAATCGCCATCCTAACTACCCAGTCCTACCTTGCCCCCTAAAGGCCATGCTGTTGTCATTGTTAGAGACATGGACATCTCATGAATACCTCTCCCCATCCCCATATCCTTTGATCTAAGAATTCCACCTCTAGGAATTTATCCCTCCAAAAAAGTCAGACAAGCTCAAAAAGATGTACATGTAAGGATTTTCTAGCATTACTTCTGATAAAAAAACTTGATAGCAAACCACATGTTCCTTCACTAGGGGTATTAATTGTGTTCTAGCCAGTCAACTACTAGTGCAGCCATTAACAAGGATGATGCCAATCTGTATTGGCAAAAAGGACATTGCTGTGATGTGTTTGGGGGTGGGGGGATGACAACAGACTAAAGTTTAGAAGAGTTTGTGTTCTGGCTAAGATGAGATCGTCCTTTTTGTGTACAAATGAAAGTGAGAATTCTTTGGGAAATATTGTAAGGAGAAAGACTTCATTTCTGTCTGATGGGATTAAAGAGTAGTTTTTATTTTCTTCATACCTTCCTGTAGAGTCTTAAGTTTCTGTAAGTAAAGGAAGATTAAGAGTAATACGTGAGATGTGGCAGGTCAGAAGTGGCTAAACCCACTCAGAAATGAACATTTGGTGTTTATCGTGCAGTGCCGAGCTTGATGTTGTGTATCTACCTGTTAAACGGAATAAATCCAGAGCGGAGTCTTTTCAGAAGACTAGATGTTACCCTCTTTTTTTCAGAGCAGAGTGCTGAAGTTCTCTTCCTTACACTGGTATGTTTGAGAACTAGGCCCCACAAATGTCAGGAAGCGCAATATATCGCGTTCTTACAGCTGCTGGGCCTTTCTGTGCGCGTGTAACTTCCTGTTCCTATTTTTTATGTGGTACGTCTGATGAGTGAGGACGATTTAACTTCTTTTGAACGGTACTAAGAGCTTCGTTAATACTTGCTATTGCTAGTAGTATTGTTACTGCAAAATGCTTTTTTTAAATTTTGGTATCATTAATCTATAATTACATGAGGAACGTTATGTTTACTAGACTCCCCCCTTCACCAAGTCCCCCTACAAACCCCATTACACAAAATGCTTTTTAATTATTTAATTTTATTACCTTTTTTGTTTACTAATGTAGTACATTCGTCTGGACCACAATTTCAACAAACAAAATTGCCCTAAGACTTTCAGGGACAACAAGGTTATCACGGTTATCAGCCTTAAGTCCACCCTACAGATTAAGGTCCAGAAGACGTTTGAGGAATGTAGACTGAAGATACTCACCTCTGAAAATGTGTCCTCGCCCATAATGTAGTGTGTGGTCCGTGACTGAATGATTGTAGTGTTTATTGGGATATCTTCCCTGATCTCTTTGTATTTGCACATACAGACTAATTACAGAAACTTAATACATTTTTTGGTTCCTTATCCCTTTGGCTCCTCCTCCTTACACCTGGTACTCCTGGCTACCTCCTCCATGAAATATTTTGTTGTTTTGACTTTGATTTTCTAAGTTGTTTCTGATCCGGCCAGCTAGTCCTCTGTTTTCTTCAACTTTCTATCTGCCATACCTAGTGGTGAACATTCCTTAAGATGCATTCCTTATTTTAGCTACATTCTCTCATCCTCATGGTTTCAATTATTTTGAAGACTATGCTGTAATGTAAGGTAAACACAGTATTGACTGCCTGGTATTCCTCCCTTGATAGCTTTCTGTCACCTGGAATCTCCTAGAAAGGTGGAAATTCTCCTAGGAAAGAAACCTACCTCTCCCCGCAGTGACTTCCCCTCCTCCATAATAAATGTACCCTGCCATCACCAGCCGTCCAGTCTCAAAACCCTGCAGTTAACTTGGACTCCTAAATGCAGTTACTTCTTTAGCCTTCCTCAGTTATTTGAAATGTCTCCTTTATCTCTTGAAACAGCCTGCCAGCCTGCCGCCTTAGCGTCAGTCTCTGCTCTATTCAGTGTGTCCTGTCTCGTCTCAGTCAGGACCTTCTGAGGCTGTTTTTATGCTCGGCTCCAAAGCTAGGACTCTTGTGTGGCCTGCATATCAAGTTCAAACCTGTTTGACTTTCTAGCTTAACATCTGATTCCATCCTACCTCCCCAACCTTACTTTTCTATTACTTTCTAGACTGTATTGTGTACTATTTTGGGGAATGGTCGCTCCCTGTGACCATGATTTTCATCTTCTAGGAGACCACATTTCAGTCTTAGGAAATGAGCATGTAGAGTTTGAAAAATTATCAAAAAGTTTGATTCTGATACACCCCATCTCTCAGGGGGGACAATTTTTTCTTGTTCAGAGCCATAGCTGTTGTGGGAAAAGCATAAAAACAATTAAACACACTGTGTTAAGTGGCTATAATAGATACAAAGTACTCTTCCCACTGCCTTAGTTAAGGCCTTTGATTGCTCATCCAAATTCTTCTAGTCACCTCATAATTAAGTCTTTCACTTCTCCAATCCACTGTGCCCTTTTTTCCCTAAATTACAGATTGAGCTGTATGGTACCATGAGAATTACCATGGTAATATTAATCTAATATAATTAAAATATCTAATATATTACCATGAGAATAGGTCTTGAAATTCAAGGTTGTTCCCAGTCTCCAACCTGTACTTTCTCTGTTCCTGTTCAGCCTCATTCATTGACTCATCAGATGTAGAATTCCTTCCATGACCTTGGCTCTGGACTTGGCATTGAAAACAGAGCAGTGAACAACACAGACCTGGTCCTTGCCTTCATGTGGCTTATAGTCTATTAAATGTAGTAGATAATAACATGAGAAATTGGTTAATTATGCTAAGTGCTACCAAGGAAAACTATCTCCCACATTTCCATATACATCCTCTATATCATCTGTGTATCTTTCCACTTCGGCCAAATAACACTTTTCAATATTTTATAGTATTTTCAATGTCTAAATACAGTGGTTTGCAGTAACTAAAGCACTTAGTATTCACTGTTGAGTTATTCCTCAGTCTAGGCATGGTGGATAGTAACTAGCTAGATGGTAACTTAGGGAGAGTGCAGGCCTTCAAAGCCTCATTTGTTTGCCAATCATTTAAACTGGACTGGAACTTGGGTTTCATTTGCCTGCGTCTGAGTCTATAATAAGTAAATCACTTTCACATATCTAGTGAAATTTGGTGGGTTGATGAAATAAGGCTTTTCCAAGTAGTGTTTCCATTCTGTATTGTGGCAATTTGTTCCTTGCATTACTTAACGATGTTATGTCTGTTCACCCTAATGACATTATTTGCTGACTGCCAACTAATTTTTCTAATTGTCCAAAGGTTTATTTGTATTATTGATGATTGGTGGGTGAATGATCAGATGAACCCCAGTGGGATGGATACCTTACACTACCTCTTTTATTTCTTCTTAGATTTTTTACCCAGAAACTACAGATATCTATGATCGAAAGAACATGCCAAGATGTATCTATTGTATCCATGCGCTCAGGTAATCAGATTTTCTTGGTAAAATAAGCAGTGTACATAGATCCAGAAAATAGATCGGTGGTTGCCGGACATGGGGCAAAATGGGTGGAGGGGGTCAGAAGATACAAACTTGCAGTCATAAAATAAGGAAGTCCTGGGATGTAATGTACAGTGTGGTGACTATAGTTAATGTGTTATATATTTGAAAGTTGCTAAGAGAGTAGATCTTAAAAGTTCTTGTAAAAATGAAATAGATTTATTACTGGGTGGTGATGGGTGCTAACTAGACATGATTATTTTGCAATTATACATATCTTAAATCATTACATTATACTTCTGAAACTAATGTAATATGTCAGATGTCTCAATAAAAATAAAAAGAAAGGAGTTTAGGAATAACACCTGAATTGAGTGTACAGCTTTTTGTCCATGGAGTAATGAAAATATTTTTACGTTAGCTGACAGAATTTTCAAATAGAGTAGGATATTATTATTTTAACGAAGTGGTAAGAAAAAGCTGTGTTTTTTTAGAGAGCAGGGAGAAGGGGTGTATTTATTCCCACAATAGGAAATAATTTTGCTTTGAAAACATTATCTTTCAATATTGATGTAGTGTTTCTGTGAACTATGCATTTCACTTGGGGCACAGTTCCTTTTTAATTAATATCTTAAATATTATACAAAGTATATATTTGAAAACATTGTTTACCTTTTTGTTTCAAGCTGCTGAGATGAATTATAAAATGTATTACATCTTGATATTCTTTAGTAGTACAATCAAATCTTGCCAGTATCTTCAAATAGTATCAGCAAATATCGAATGGTTGATTTATAGTTCAGTTATCTAGGTCTTCACCAAGCCATTTGTTCATTAAATGTCTTTTATGCCAACATGAATATTATAAATAGAAACAATGTAATTTTCTCACAATTTCATAGTAAATTTGAAAAATGACTTAATTTCAGATCCTTAGCTCTTTAGAATCAACAAAATATTCGAAGGAAGAGGGGATACGTGTGGAAGGAGTGTGGGATGGCATGGGAGTAGGTGTGAGAATTATCTTATTGAAGAGCAGAACAAATGTCCTTGGTGGCCAGAGGACTAAAGGAGAAGCGGGTAGAAGTGAGTGGGACATGAGTATGAGGTTCCTTAGCTTGGGCCACTCCTTTTATATAGCATCCCTCTGTGTGCCTGATAATGTTAATCACATTGATGAGTGTACATATAACAGTGACCCGTTTGATCAGACATGCACCCGATCCTCGGTAGCACTGGAATCAGTGTGAAACCCTGAAGACAGACTGTAGCAGAGGACTGGGGGGTCTCCTGTGTGGACTAATGCATTAACCTCCTTAGAAGTTTCCCTCCCGAGGCCCCCTTCTGGTCCATCTGCTGTGCTGCGGTCAGAGCTGTCTTTCCAGAACAACCCTGATCACATCGCGTCTTCCACAAAATATTTTGTTAACTCCTTTCCAGTCTCACCACCCGCCATTCTCTCCTACATGTCTATGCTCTAGTTTTCACCAAACGCGCCTTGTACTCTTGTGCCTTTGGCCTGTTTTATGCTGTTTCCTCTGTCCCGAATTCCCTTTTCTCCCTAGTTTAACATGCGCTCTTCTCCAGGTGCCCCCTCGGAGTGTTGCTTGTTCATTGATGAGTTCTTTTACTTTTTCTCTCTCAGGCAGAATTAGCTACTAGCATTTTGTACATAAAGTAGAGTGCTTGTTACATTGATATTCTGGTTGGTTGTTCTTAAAACCTGCATTTTGGGGGCAAGAGCTATTTTCCTTTATTTTTTATTTTTGGAATTAATGTTGTGTCAGAAATCACACATTATAACACATCTTCCTCTCCCCCTCTTCCAGCCCAAGGGGATATTGAATCGGTACTTTGTCTTTATCAGATGACTCTCGAGCTTTGTCTCATCCCCGCAAGGTGCAGCTCAGTCCCGCCCTTGGCGGGGTTTGCCATCTACAGCGACTCCAGTTTATTCCTTTGTCTAAACTTGTGGGTTGCTGGTTTTGCTTTCTAGTTATTGTTTCTTTCATGTTTAATTTTTGTCTCCCTATTACATTATCTTAGGGACACAGATCATACCTTACTTTTCTTTTTTTTTTCCTCCAAGGTTCATAGTGTAATGTTGGACATGGTAATTTTTTAAAAATGTTCAGGAATGGGTGATATCTAGGGGAATTTATAGATTGTAGCAATTTCAAATGTATGTGTCTGAGCCAGAGTCAGATTAATTCCGAGAACTGTGATTGGCTTAGTGTTACCTGAGGTCTGTCTGTGTTGATAATCTTCTGAAGGCTGTACCTACAGTGGGTATTTGAACTTGCAGGCACAGAGGCTAAGCTGGCAGAATTCCTTCCGGTGAGTTCTGTAGCCACCACTCCCTGCATTGTAACCTGGGTTCTAGGTCCTCAAGTTCTCTGAATCAGAGATGAAGTATGTATTAACTGTGCCTTTCCAGTAATGGGGTCAGAATGAGAAAGGGAGGAAATCTACTATTGTTTTCCATTCTCTTCAATATGCTGCTTCTGCTTAGGAAGTATATACAGAGCAATGTGTTCTGGTTGGTTGGTGATTTATGATTTCTTTCCTTCTTTATATTGTTTTTCCTGAAGGGTGGGTTGGCAACTCTAGATAATCTGTAGGAAATATTTATAGGCGTGGAGCCTCTTTACCATAAACACAGTGCTCAAGGCAGATTCCTCCCTGCACTGTATTGGGTTAGGTACTGTCTCCTTTTTGAATCAACAGTAACAGAGAAGCATTATCTCCCCCACCTGCCTTGTTTAGTCTTGACTGGTATCATTGCAGAGCTAGTGTAACATTTAGTCATGCTAAATTACTCGTGTTGATTACATTCCACTCTTAGATAAGACCCCAGTTCTCCATTATTCCAGACATATTTGTGTACTCCCAGTTCCCCTGATGATTTATCCTTCTAAGAACTGGTTTTGGAATTAAATAGGCCCACAATCCTTTATTCTAAATTCAAAAGAACCCTAAAAGTTCTGAGGATTAAGTTTAAGTTTGGTTCAAATACTTTTGTTGGCAAAATCTGATCAGAATCAGTTGAGGTTATATAGCATATTTGTCTGCTTAGTATGATTATATATTTCTTTGCAGAAAAGTAATGCATTTGTTTAGGGGCATGGCCTCCAAGCTTCCTGAGAGTGTGCTGTAATACTGTATCCACTGGGAAACCTTGCTAATATCTGAGAAATCTTAAATGCATATCTGGCCCAGAGAATTTAGATAGGTAATCATGGATTATACTAGATTCTGATTCTAATTAACAGCTCTGTTTGTGTCTAAGAGCCTTTATTAATCATTTTTAGGTCAGCATAGTGACTTCTAGGTTACTTCATAGTCAGCAAAGGTAATTGGAATCCAGATAGACTAACACAGCTTCCATCTCCACATTGCTATGAAGTACTGCTTAAATAAGAAGAAAGGAAAACTCTGAGGTGAATTACAGACTAACTGTTACAGGTTCCTAACAGCTTATTTATAAAAATAGGCAGGGGAGAGCAGGAATAAAGATGGGAGAGTGATGTTTACCTGTACCTTTAGGATTTTTAGGTTTCAGTTTTGAAGCTTAGTGCTTTCTGTTTTGGGTAAGGGATCTAAGGATCTAAGTGGCCATTATGATTATAGTCATAGCTTAAAACATTCCTAATAATTAAAATGAGATAAAAGTAAGGTGGTGCCCTGTCTTATCTTCTCCTCTACTTTTTATAGTTGCTGGTGATAACCTTTAATTTACTAGTGAAAAACATTAAAAGCTAACACTGTTAGAGCTGTGAAAGCCACATTCTTGAACTTTCTGAATGCGTGGCAGCCCCTCTCTTGTTTCAAAGTAGAAATAAAAGGAAGAAATTGCTGGAGAAAATATTCTTACTAATTTAGAATGCAGATGGGACATACTATGTGGGAGAAATACTTAAGGAAACATATTACATGTAGAAAGTTAGCTGTTTTACTTTGGAAGATGTATTACATAGATTTAAAACCTATGAGAGGAACTTTGTGTAGTTCTGTCTTGAGTATTTTACTCAAAACGGAAATACATGATTTATACTTACACTTTTCTGAGAAAATTATTAGCTACTGTGGATGTGTAAATTCGAATGTGCTTTCAGAACACTTGATTTTTTTACATTGCACATTTGGATTTATTATATACAATTTAAATTCTGATCTGTGTTTTATGCATGATACATATTTATATTTAGATAATACTGAGCTTTATAGGTTATTTTCAAAAACGGTAGACCATTCTATTGAGTTTCCATGGTTAGATATTTTTTATTTCTTCCCTTATTGCTAGGCTGTCATTGTCTTGTTCATGTCTATCCCTGATCTCTTCTAACTTACTCATTCTAATTTACTAGGGTTTTAGAATCCAGAGAACAAGTCAGACTTACAGATACTTAATTATCCATCTGTCCATCTGTGAATATATGCTAGGCTCTGGGTAGACATTGGTGAATAAGACCTTTATTGTTCCTGCCTTTGATGAATTTTAGAGTGTAACAGATATCTTCTTTTATCTAAAGAGTAAAGATAATATATTATGTACTTTGTTTAAAACTCCCAAATTACCTGAATTAGGTTTTTCCATCAGTAATATGAATTCAATTTAAACAAGATTTTCTATCTGAATCATTTTCAGATTTGTAAAATGTCTTGCTACTTAAAACTTATTGATCATAGAAGGTAAACAGAAGTGAAGATTCTTCTCTTCTCATTAACATTGATGTTAACATTTATGTTAACATCTAATCACACACTGGATTTGTACCAGAACTGAGATTTGAACTTATGTCTAGTGATTCCCAGTTCAGTGTTTTTCGCTTTACATTATGTGGCTTTTTATGTAAAACTAAAGAAAGACTCTGGAGTAAAATATTGTACTGCAAAGGGGAATATTGTAGAGTACTGGAGTCTCTGTATTCAGAATGTTTCTATTTATGCTGATTTTCCCTTTAAGAGGGGCAGCTAGGTATAGCTGGGAGGCCTAACCCTTCTGCATGTTGCGTGTTCTAGTTTGTACCTGTTCAAACTTGGCCTGGCTCCTCAGATTCAAGACCTCTATGGAAAGGTTGACTTCACAGGTAAGGAGTTACTAACTTGGCAGGAAATGCTTGATTTATGTGGAAATAGCCTGGAGAGTCAATAACACCAATCTTAAAGACATAGGGCTCGAAAAAGAAACTGGCAGCAGAGATGAAAGAAGTAGAAACAGCTTGCTTCTCCTGGTGTGGTGGGACGATCACCAAACTTGGAATTTCAATTTCAAGCTCTAGTCTCTTAGTTATGATGTGGGGATAATTAGCGAGTCTCAATTTTCTTATGTAAATAGGGCATAAAATTAATATAATATATAAAACAAAGTATGTAATATTAACATCTAACATTAAATGTTCATGTATAGTAAAAAAAGACTTTATACCAGTCTTTCCCTTTCCCTTCTAGCAAACACTGATTGTGGGCAAAGCAAGGGGTGGAGGGAGTGAGGTGATGCACAGATGACAACTTAGTAATTTGAAAATTCTAGCTTCTTTGGGTAATTTTAAAATTTAGCTGACTTTATGTGTATTTGCTACAGTCAGATGCTTAAAGACATGGGGGCTTGGGAAGAAAAGAATAGTGGTAGTATTGGTTAGGGGTAAGGCAGATCCAAATCATTTGGGCTGGTAATTATTTTGTAGGTCTGGGAATTTTAAAAGTTGGTAATAAAACTTTTATCTATGGTGTTCTTCCTTCAGGGAAGTTGTTCACCAGACTTGGGGCAAGGGCCAAACCTTACATGTTGTTTTCTTTATCATTTGGTTTCCTGCCTTACTAACAAACTTGTTTAATAGCAGCTAGTGATTTGGATTGTAAAGACCCAGATAACTGCCTGGATTGTCATTTACTTCTCGTTGAACTTCCTTTAAAACTGTGTTATTCATAGTTCATTGGAGGAAATGCCACAAGTAGCAGTTTTGGAAAACTATTTTCTGTAGGACCATTCTCATGCTACAGCTATTTCTGATGCTCTTGATATTAGCAATAATAACTAATGTCTGTTAAGTACATGTTATGTGCCAGGTACTGTTAAGTGCCTCCCATATATTATCTCATTAAATCCTTGTAACAACTCTAAGAGGTAGATGCCATTTTATAGTTGAGGAATCTTTTTCCTTCCTGAATTCTGGAAAGGTGCTTAACTTCCTTGACTGAGTCTTAACTCTTTCCTGTAGAGGAAGAAATTAACAACATGAAGATTGAACTGGAGAAGTATGGGATCCAGATGCCTGCCTTCAGCAAGATTGGGGGCATCCTGGCTAATGAACTCTCAGTGGATGAAGCTGCATGTAAGGAGAGAGAAATTTTGTGGTTTCAAATGGGATTGTTGCTACCACTTTCAGTAATTAATACTTTAATGATGATATTGGACATTATGAATTTTGCTAGCAAGTTTAGGTCAGTAGATGCAGTTTTAAATACTGCTGTAGTTTTTATGCTATTGTTACTTGGAAACAAGTGATGGATAATGATTAAAAGCACTTAGATGGGAGAATATATTCATAAATGACATCCGATAAGGGTATAACATCCAGAATATATAAAGAGCTCAAACGGCCTCAACACCCAAAAAGCAAGTGACCCAATTAAAAAACGGGCAGAGGATATGAACAGACACTTCTCCAAAGGAGAAATTCAGGTGGCCAATGGGCAGATGAAAAGATGCTCCACATCACTTATTATCAGGGAAATGCAAATTAAACCACAGTGAGATACCGCCTCACACCAGTTAGGATGGCCAACATCCAAAAGACAAGGAACAACAAATGCTGGAGGATGCAAAGAAAGGGGAACCCTCCTGCACTGTTGGTGGGAATGTAAATTAGTTCAACCATTTTGGAAAGCAATATGGAGGTTCCTCAAACAAACTAAAAATAGAAATACCATTTGACCCACGAATTCCACTTCTAGGACTTTACCTGAACAAAACAAGATCCCAGATTCAAAAAAATATGTGCACCCCTTTGTTTATCGCAGCACTGTTTACAGTAGCCAAGATATGGAAGCAACCTAAGTGTCCATCAGTAGATGAATAGATAAAGATGCGGCACATATACACAATGTAATATTATTCAGCCATAAGGAGAAAATAAATCCTACCATTTACAACAACTTGGATGGAGCTAGAGGGTATTGTGCTCAGTGAAATAGGCCACGCAAAAAAGACAAGTATCAAATCATTTTACTCATCTGTGGAGTAATAAGAACACAGAAAAAAACTGAAGGAATAAAACAGCAGCAGACTCACAGACACTAAGAAGGGACTAGCGGTTACCAAAGGGAAGGGGTTGGGAGAAGGGAGGGAGGGAGGGAGAAGGGGATTAAGGGGCATTATGATTAGCACACATAATGTAGAGGGGGCACAGGCAAGGCGGCGGGGCACAGAAAAGACAAGTAGTGACTCTAAAGCATCTTACTGCACTGATGGACAGTGACTGCATTGGACTGTGTGTATGGGAACTTGATAATATGGGTGACTGTTGAAACCACAATGTTGCTCATGTGAAACCTTCACAAGATTGTATGTCAATAATACATTAATAAAAATAAATAAATAAAAGCACTTAGTGAGTTCTACATTTCAGTGCCTCTTTGAGTTTCTTATTTTTTAATGGTATTTACATGATGATTAAGGGTGAACACTTCTGTAATATATGCTCTTTACAAGGGTTTTTTATGACTATTTCCCTGTGAGATTACAAATTCAGCATCCCACATACGGATTGCAGGCAGAGCTGTAGCTTTGTGCATCCTGAAGAAGAGACTGGGCTTACAGGATGAAGGGAGCCACTCCTCCCACCCCACCTGTTGCTTCTCTATGGAAAGGAACCTCTCTCTGTAATGGGGGTTGCAATGTTTTTCTTATGTGTAGTGTACATCCTTCCTATCTAACTTCAGTGTTCTATGCTTTTTGATTGTTCTTTCAGTACATGCGGCTGTTATTGCTATTAACGAAGCTGTTGACCGTAGAATTCCAGCTGACACGTTTGCAGCTTTGAAAAACCCCAATGCCATGCTTATAAATCTTGAAGAACCCTTGGCTTCCACCTACCAGGATGTGCTTTACCAGGCCAAGCAGGACAAAATGACAAATGCTAAGAACAAGGTGAAAATTGATTATATTCTTTCATCATTTGATAAGACTCCATTTAAAAAAATCAGTTTTATTGAGGTATATCTTATATACAATAAAATTCAACCATTTTAAGCATATAGCTTGATGAGTTTTGACAAATGTCTATGGCTATGTAACCATCACCCCGAAAGGTCTCCATAGTCTATCTCTACTGCCCCCCACTCTCTTCCCCTGACCCCAGGCAAACTGTTAATCTGTTTTCTATCACTTAGTTTACCTTTCTAGAATTTCATATGAGTAAATTGAATCATACAGTATGTAGTGTTTTGGAATTATATTATCTGCTTTGACTTCTGCTTTCTTGAATTTCGTGCAAACCAGGGAGAGGCTCTGAGCTCTGGCACCTACAGGTGCCTGTCGTGCCCAGGTCTGCAGCAGGGATGCAGGCCCACAGGTGGGCAGGGCGGGGGTCACCGGCACTTCCCTCTCTTGCCCGACTCTAGGGGAACCCCTGGGCTTGCTATTAACAGGTGGATCTGCTTTTTATGTTCTCAGTTACAGTCATGCAGCTTTCTGTTTTGTTCTTTTTTAAGAATTTTAAGCTACGCCCTTCCTTGCCCTTGGTTCTGTTCTGGTGAGGGAGGAATGCGAATGTGTGTCTGCGGTCTTGGAGACCTGAGCTAATCTGGTGATGCTTTCTCATCTTCAGACAGATAACTCTGAAAGAGAAAGGGATGTTTATGAGGAGCTGCTCACTCAAGCTGAAATTCAAGGCAATATAAACAAAGTCAACAGTAAGTATGTCCCTGAGTCAGGCATCTAAGGGGATATTACAGAATAATGTGAGCGTCGATCTATTCCTGGATTCATGGCATGGTTTACATTTATTTATTTTAGACCTTAGTGGGTTTGTTCAGGAACTATTGCTTATCGCTGTCTTTGTGTTCACACGTTTTCTGTAGGAGTGACCATGGCCCTCTGGCCCTCGGTCCTCCATGCACTCATCTGCTCTAGCTCGTCTGGCCTCCTGGCTGCAGGTTCACTCTTCAACCTTGTGTTACATATTAAAAAAAAGTCTGAGTAGGGATTTTATTTTTCCTATGTAAAAATAATGATATAGTTCTGTTTATCTTTTAAAGAGTAATGAAAGTTATCTAGAAGTAAACAAAAAAATTAGACCCCTATCACCTAGAAATAACCACTATTGATATTTTTATGCATATCCCTTTCAAAACATATATTTAAACAAAAATAAGATTCTTTTCATATTTGGTTTTCATATATATGTGTTACTTTTGAGAAATTAATTTTTTGAAAGTATCATTTTCATTTTGTTACTCTTTTGCTAAATAACCTGATTTGGTTCCTTATTACTTGCCAGACAAAATGTGGATCCCTTGCAGTATTTCATGCATATAGTTCTCTATAGAAACTCACTTGCCTAATTGTCTCCCATACTCATCCCATCCATTTTGTCACTCGTGAAGAGTCTGGCTCTGGAGTGGTACAGACCTGGGATTTGGTTTCTTGTTCTCTTAGTAGCTGTGTGACATTCAGCATGTGTGGCATAGAATTGTTGTGCTAATGATGAGGTAGTGTGTATAAATTGCTTGGTATTTTGTAAGTACTCTAACATCAGTATCATCACGTTTCTTAATCATGCTTTATCTCTTAGCTGATCCAAATTGTTCCCATCGTTCAAGATCCAGCTCAGCTCTCATTTCAGTGCCTAGCCCAGCTCCAATATACTTGCTGTTCAAATCTCCTACAGCATTTATAGACTAAAGCACACAATTTTTTTTTTTTTGAGAGGGCATCTCTCATATTTATTGATCAAATGGTTGTTAACAACAATAAAATTCTGTATAGGGGACTCAATGCCACAGTCATTAATCGACCCCAAGCCTATAGCTCAACAGTCTCCAATCTTCTGAAGCATAACGAACAAGTTCTTACATGGTGAACAAGGTCTTACATAGTGAATAAGTTCTTACATGGTGAACAGTGCAAGGGCAGTCATAACAGAAACTTTCGATTTTGATCATGCATCATGAACTATAAACAATCACGTCAGATATGCTTATTCGTTTGATTTTTATACATGATTTGTATGTGAATCCCACATTTCTCCCTTATTATTATTATTATTATTATTATTTTTAATAAAATGCTGAAGTGGCACATAGATGCAAGATAAAGGTAGAAAACATAGTTTAGTGCTGTAAGAGGGCAAATGTAGATGATCAGGTGTGTGCCTGTAGACTAAGTATTAATCCAAGCTAGACAAGGGCAACAAGACATCCACGGATGCAGAAGATTTCTCTCAAAATGGGGGGGGTGAGGTTCTAAGCCTCACCTCTGTTGATCCCCAATTTCTCTCCTGATGGCCCCCGTGCGACTGTGCCTGTCTTAGGTTGTTCCTCCCTTGAGGAATCTTACCCGTCTCTGGCTAACCAGTCATCTTCTGGGGCCATACAGGGAAATGTAAAGTTGGCAAGTGAGAGAGAAGCAATATTGTTAGAAAAGGTTAGCTTTTTACTTTGCAGATTTATGCCCTGTGGCTTCTATGCCCAGCATTTGTCTTGACGTATCTTTACCACTTGGAAGAATTATGATACTCGGTAATTTTCGAGATGAGGCACTAATTCTACTAAAGGGTTGTAATTAGGAAGGAAGAAGAAAAGCTATAGAAGTAGCAGACGGAAGAAAACATGGGAAGATTGATTATTTCTTTGACATATCTTCTTGTAGAGTAACATAAGCATGTATAGGTTTTAAACTACTACTTAAATTGCGCACAGACATTAACATAATAGGAATACAGCTACATAACAAAAGCAGATCTACAATTACCAGCCATATCCAGTGAAACCAAGAAAACCAGTTAGGTAACCTAGACATTTGCTTGAAAACTTATCAATTATATGATGGATATTGTCTAACTGAATTTGAATAGTTTGAGAAAAATCAGACAAATTAAAACAACACATTCCTGGGAACTGTTCACATCCCATATGTTCTTTTAACAGTAGATATTCAATAGTCGCAAGATTTTGGAGCGCTGCAACTTGCACTTTTCCTAATTCTTGGTTGAGTTCCGACAGTATAGATCCAGTCAAATTTGTTGTTTTACTGTATGCACAGGCCAGTAAAGCACACAATTTTATACTTAATTTTATATTGTCTTACATTAGTGTTTTTACATTTATTTATTTTAGACTTTAGTGGACTTGTTAGCTTGGTCTTTGCTTCTGACATCTTTATAAACTACTTAAAATAGAGATTACTTATGAGTTCTGCTACTTTTGAAATCCTAGTAATTCCTAGCATGGGGTTAGAGCCACCAAAAGAGGTAGAAAGCTTATTTGATTTCAAGTAGGCTCGATTCTGTTTTGCTCAAGTTGATCATAACATCAGTGGTAATAGTAATTAGTGTCCTCTTTGTTCATTGGAGGTCCTAATCTCTCACTTGAACTACTACTCTGAATAACTAGAGAATTTATAAGATTTTACCAACTCCATATGGTAAGTTCTAAATCCTGACCAGGAATCTTTGTATCTCTTCCATCCTGGTGCACTTTGGACAGCTTTCTGAACAGGGCAATGGTTCCATTCAACTATGGGTGATGTGCTGTGTCTCACGAATGCTTAGGCCAGCAGATACAAGCCCAGTGTCCCTGCATACCTAGCTGCCTGAGTGAGAAGGAAGTCCAGTGCTTCCTGCTGCATACACTGCGCATCTCAAGGGAAACACAGGCGAGGTTCATCCCCTAGGGTGTGAGATCCAGCAGTGAAGCTATGAGCGCTGCCCCAGGAGAAAGCCTCAGGCCAAATAGTTAAAATTGAGAAAAAGTTAATTTTATTTCTTGTTAAGTAGAATAAGGAAAATTAGAGTTGGATAATTCAAGCTTAGAGGGAGAAAGTATTTAAATATTCTAAATTTTCTCTTTATAGTATAAATTTAGTAAGTGTTCATTTAAATATTTGTATATGTAAGTAGTAAGTTTATGTTTCTAGTAAAAGCATAATTGACTTGATGCTTTTGTAGATTGATAAACTGAGATTCCGCATTGCAAACCTAGAGAAAGCCTGGTTATTATCTCTGTTGATTTTGTTTATTTTCTGTTCCCTGCTACTACCAAGCTCCATGAGGACAAGAAATATTTTGTCTGTTTTGTTCTCAGCTGTATTTGCAGCATGTAGCAGATGCTTAGTAAATGTTAAAGGAATGTCTGGTTAGGTGGCAAAGGACCACGTAGACCTGCAGCCATGACTCACGGAGACCCCACCTTGGTGTGGTGATCAATTAGCTGAATTATAGGCATTATCATTGTGAAGAACTGAACAGTCTCTTGAAGTCTACAGTGAGACCATAAATCCATGGGAAATTTTTAACTTTTCATTCTGTGACCTGTTGGTTTTGTTTATTCGTTCTGCTCGTCCTTGCTGTCCCACCCCCATTTTCTAGTATAGTTGGGACTTTATTTTTCCTTGAATTGTTTGTCTTCTAACACCTTATGTTAATTTTTTCCTTTTTGATTTTTTTCACAAATGGCAGCATTTAAAATTAAGTACTGCTGTGATCCAAATATTATGATTTCTAGTATTTTATTATTGATTTGTTATGCTACTTTGGTGATAAAAAGTCAGATGTTCCCATTCCCTGGGTATGGCATGAGAACTCTATTTTCTCTTCTTAAAGTAGGGAAACTAAAAAATAGTATGTAGTGATCATTTCCCAGTGGCTGTCACTTCTGAAATCAGAAAACGCCTTGGACTTTCAAGCTTATAACTTATTTCTTTACAGTATACAAAGTACTTTTGTATATATGATTTCATTTCATCTTAACCATAACACTGTAAAGAAGGTATGTTTGTTTATTATCATTCCCAATGAAGGAGCATCTGGGTTCTCACTGTCAGATACTGTATTAAAGACCTTATGTGGTTCTGAGAGGGTGTAGACAGCCCCTTCCCTTCCACAGTCAGGCCACCCTTCATGTCTGGGCACTGCCTGCTCTGGGTGAAGTGTGCTCAGGACATACTAGGGTAGTGAAGGGATTCAGAATGATGCTGTGTACGAAGTGGTTGAAGGAACTAATTAGTCTGGAGTGGACTGACACAGGGAAAGGGGAACTGGATGTATTCATGTGTTGACTCTAGGGTGAGAGTTTTAACCATGTTTTTTTTTGGAACAGAATTGTCCAAAGGTATAGAACAGAATTGTCCAAAGGTATAATAAATAACTGTGGAAGAAACTTTCTCCTGTGTAAAAGTTACTCTAGACAACAACTTGGCATTGTAGAGGGAATTTAGGCATGTGTTGGTTTGGATTGGTGCCTCATATTGCTGCCCATATTGGCGCCAAGCTTTCTACATCTGGAAGCTTTTAAGTAGGGCTGGGGTGTGGTCCAGGAATCTTTAAAATCTGATCAACGGCCTGGCTGGGAATCCCTGGGTTTGATGACTTTAGGGTTCTCTTCCAATCCAAGATCATACTCCAGATGTTCCAGAATAAAGGCTGTCTGAATTATGTCCTCCTAATCTGGAACCAAGATTGGCTTTGGGGAAGAAAAAATAACCTAGGCCATAATGTTAATGTAATTTTTTCTTGAGCTTTTGCCTTTTTTCCTCCTCAGCATTTTCTGCATTAGCAAATGTAGACCTGGCTTTGCAGCAGGGAGCTGCCCTGGCCTTGTTCAAGGTTCTGCAGTCGCCGGCTCTGGGCCTCCAAGCACTGCAGCAGCAGAACAGTGACTGGTACCTCAAGCAGCTGCAGAGTGATCGACAGCAGAAGAGACAGGTAGACTCAGGGGGAACTAGCAAGGGGCTGGCTGTGTCCATTGGAACCCACTCTGTCATTTAAGGGCATTTATGGGGCTGTTTTTTTCTAATATAAGTTTCTTCTGGGGTTCTTAAATGTCGTCAGGTAAAGTACACATTGTCTTCAATCTCTTCTGCTTTTAGAGTTGTAAATCCTCTTTTAAGTAAACAAACAAAACCTATCCTCCCAGCCTAACCACTTGAAGCCTCCTCAACTCCCAACTAAAAGCCATTGGGGGAACCTGAATTTTTTTACATTCTTACTTCATGTATTTCCACTTTAGAAAACCAAACTTCACTGGTTTCTCAGGCCACACTGGGAAAATGATTAACGTCCAGTAAGAGTAGACTGTGTGGGATTGTACTTTGTAGGCTTTTGAAGGACAAATATGAGGGGCTTTCTTTTTTTTTTCCAAATAAGGGCAAGTATACATTTTACAGATTCCCAGCATATACTGGCTAGAGTAGGCAGCATTAATGTGTTAAGGATTCTGTAAACATTTTATCTCAGAACAGTTTGATGTTTCTCATGAAAAAAATTGTTTTTTTTCTGTCCTGGCACTTGTAAAGTATCTGTACCCCAGATTTAGCAAGGGCTTTTGGCTCTTGCTAGGGCTGTGCCTTTGGCTGCATATAGCCTAACGCTGTCATTTAAGCCTGGGGTTCTCTATTCCTAGGAACTGCTGTTGAGGTGTGGAAACTATCAGGTCTGGAGGCATAGACATGAGTAATCTTTACATAAGTGTTCTTTGCTTTTCTCAGGGTGGTCAGGCTGATCCCCTGCAGAAGGAGGAGCTACAGTCTGGAGTGGATGCTGCCAATAGTGCTGCCCAGCAATATCAGAGAAGTAAGCGTCCTTGCAACTGGGTGTCCACCGAGCACCGTCACTTACAGGCCTGACGTTAGATTCCTGTCACCCCTCACCCCGACCCTAGCCTACAGTCATAATCCACCACTAAGTCCCTTTGGCAGTGGGGTTCCTCTAGTTTTGAAAGTAGAATTGGAGTCACTGTAGGGTCCTTTTGGCTAGTAAGCACTTCGTGGTCGGTTAGGGAAACATTTGGGGGAAGCAAGACTTCACAGGATTGATGGGTGAGATTTGAACGGTGAAAGAGGAGAGAGGTGTTCCTAATGTGGGCAGTTGGGGAAAGGAAGTGTGAGCAGAGGTACAGAAGGTGAGACGTGTATTTAAGGAACTGTGGTTAAGATAAAAATTTTGTAAATGTTTTGGGCTGAGTTGCATAAAATAAAGGCTTAGCTAGATTGTGGAAAGCTTTGAATGGCAGCCTAAGAAGCTGATCTTTATATGCTGGGCTACAGGGGAAGAAAGGAGTATTTCCACAGAGTAGTGATGGCGTGCAGGCTCCTGTGTGAACGGGAGTGGGAAGAACACGGGGAAGGAGAACAGGGGGCTGCTTTCTGTCAACAGCTTCATTGAGATACAGTTTGTATACCACATAACCCACCCTCAGAAAGGAGGCGGCTTTTGAAAGATAGAGGTTCTATTTCTCCCTCCCCCTTTTTTTTTTTGGTTTTCCTAGACTTATTTTTTATATTAGAGTTTTGAGATAGAATTAATGTACCATACAATTCACCCAATTTAGAGTGTGTAATTCGGAGATGGGCCGTCATCACCAGGATCCATTTTAGAACATCAACCACTGCAAAGAGAAACTCTGTACCCATTAATGATTGTTGCCCATTTGCTTCCCAGCCAACCAGCCACAGGTGACAACTAGTCCAGATAGAGGTTCTGCTTCAGATGGTTTATGTGCTAATGGTTTATCTGCAGAATAACTCCTGTGAAAACGGCACCTCCTTCCCTCAGGGCTCTCCAGCTGCGTTTCTCATCTCCTGTTTTCTACCCAGGACTGGCAGCAGTGGCGGCAATCAATGCCGCAATCCAGAAGGGTGTTGCTGAGAAGACTGTTCTGGAATTAATGAATCCTGAGGCCCAGCTGCCCCCGGTGTATCCGTTTGCTGCTGATCTTTATCAGAAAGAGCTGGCTACCCTGCAGCAACAGAGTCCTGAGGTAGGTCAGCAGAACCCGTCCTGTTCGCAAGCAGAGTGGAGTGGAAGTGAGTTTAATACCCACTCCTTGGTGGGGTTGGGTAGAACCAGAAACCTATAGTGCTTAATGGTTTTATGAAATGTCCAGGCTCCTTGGTGTTCAGGAGTGCCTCTCCTCACTCTCCCCCACTTCCCTCCCCGCACAGCACAGCCTCACCCATCCTGAGCTCTCTGTGGCCGTTGAGATGTTGTCATCGGTGGCTCTCATCAACAGGGCGCTGGAGTCAGGGGACATGAATACAGTGTGGAAACAGCTGAGCAGTTCAGTTACAGGCCTTACCAATATTGAGGAAGAGAACTGCCAGAGGTGGGTGTCCAGAGTGGTGGGTGGCCTGAGCCCGTCAGGGGGCTGACGCCTCTTCCGTGTGTCAGCGCTCCTCTTCTCAGGCATCGCGACTCTAGCGTGACTGTCTCGTTTTCTGTTTTGATTACTTTCATTCTTTATAAAGCTGAACGGTTTGTAGTAAATTACATGTATCGTAGCATCCCACTCCTAACTATACAAGTAGTCTTATCCAAAACAATGAGGATATTTTGTCGAAGAGCCAAAATAACACTCTTATATCCTTATAAGATCAATAATAACACTTTAGTATTCTATAAACCCAGTCCATCTTAATACTTCCTCACTTGTTCTAAAACTGCCCTTTCCAGCTGGTTTTTTCAGACTAGGATCCAGTCCGGGACCACGTGTTATATCTGGCCTGTTGTGTCCTTTAGGGATCTTTTAGCCTAGCATTGTCCCTTTCTTCGTGACACTGGCTTGTTAAAGAGATGGGACCAGTTGTCCTATAAAACGTCCCACTTTCTGGTTCTGGTTGCTTCCTAATATTTAGCTTAGTTCTGTAAATTGCAAATTAAGTCTAAAAGCTTGTCAAGATTAAATTCAACATTTTTGGTGCTATTTCATATTTTCTTATATCAGAAGCCCTATCAGATCTACCTGTCACACCATCAGAGATAGGAAGAGTGATCCTTGGATGAGGAGACTGCCCATCCTCCCATTGTATATTTATGTTTTTCCCGTAGCACTATTTCTTTTCGCACCTTTTGTACCATCAAAATATCAAATCTCTATTAACCATTAACCATTCACCTAATATTTTTAACCCCAGTTGATAATCCTTGTCTAAATCCATACTTTTAATTAAGAGTTGCTGAGTGATGATCTCTTGATCTGTCATTCCTTCTACATTTATTAGCTGGTGTATGGCCTCGTTTTCTTCTCTTTAGAGAAGTTGCTGGAGCTGCTGCCTCTGATTCTAGAATCAGTCTTCTGTTAAGATTGAGTGATATCGTACATTTGCGTATTTTGTTTCAGGGACCTCCTTAGTCCCAAGCTGGCCTCTAGAGTGTGTCAAACTGTTGGAGTACCTGAGCCGTCTTTGTTTCCTTGATATTTTGCCCCCAGACTTCTTACTCCTCAGCAAGCCTGAGGGAGGGCCCCTTTTCTGATGTTGACTTCATTGTCTTTTGGTGGGGCACTGGGGCAGGTATCTCGATGAGCTGATGAAGCTGAAAGCTCAGGCACATGCAGAAAATAATGAATTCGTTTCATGGAATGACATCCAAGCCTGTGTGGACCATGTGAATCTGGTGGTGCAGGAGGAACATGAGAGTGAGTAATCTACTTCCCGTCCCCTCAAATGATGTCACAGCTAAAGGCGGTGTGATTTCCATGAACTGGTTCTAAACACTACTCCTGGAAGGATTTTTGGAAATTGAAAAACGTATATATAACTCAAAATGCTAAGGTTGGATTGTTCTTAAAACATTAGGCAATTGCTATAGTTACGTGTGTGTGTCCTAAGAACTAGAAATTTCAGGAGGTAAATTGAACATGGTCTGTTATTTTTGAAAGCTGTTTTAACCAGTGACCCTAACTACCCGGTTAGGTCCTACTGCGTGGCTTGAGGGTAGAGTCCCCCAAAGAATCCTCTCGTTTCAGGCACCAGCTGCAAGTTCCAGGGAGTTCCCAGGTCACCATATTTCTGAACAACTGGCTGTAAATTCAGGGGCTCCCTCTACCTATTCAGGTTCAGTAATTAGCTAGAATGACTCACAGACCTCAGGCAAGAGTTGTTATTTATGATTATAGTTATTTTATATATAAAGGATACAAGTCAGGACCAGCCAAAAGGTCAGTGCCTGGTAGGGTCTCTGATGCGAAGCTTATGTGTCCTCAGAGTGTGTTGCCCTCCCAGCCCGTGCGAGTGTATCACAGCCAGGCGGGGTTTCCAGAGTCTCTATTGGAATTTCATTCCATACGAATTAATGAACCATTGGCCACGTAACTGAACTCAGCTTCCAGTCCGCCTCCCATTCCTGGAGACAAGGGGCTCATATCGCAGTGTTGGCCCAAAGCCCTAGTCTTCTAGTCACACGGCTGATCTTCCCAGCAGGGCCAGCCCCATTCTGGAACTATCCAGGAGCCTGGCAGGAGTTACCTGGTTAGCATAGACTCGGGAGTGGTCCTCGGAGCCCCCCGTGAATACCAAAGATACTCCTGCCCCTTGGGAAATTCTAAGGGTGTAGAGGCTTCTTCCCAGGAAGAGGGACAAAGATACCCCCAATTTTTTATTTATACAAAAGATTTATTACAGTTACAAAAGTATTGCCAAAGATACCTGAGGAGTGAATGTTTCCAGTTTTAATTTGTATTTCCTGTGAGAAATTGATGCATTTGACTTAGTGGGAAGAGCCTCGTCTTGGGTGGGGACCCCTGGGATAGATCTTCCTTCTGCCACTGGTTTGCTGTGTGATCTTGGTGAAGAGATTCCCCTAAGCCTCATCTTTTCTTCTGTAAAAATTTAAATTTGGTGACTTTTTAAGATTCCTTGAACTCTGACTTTTTGCGAATCAAAAATGGTTTTGATTATACATTGGAATGTACCTGAAAGCTATACTATAAAGCCAGTTTCATCAAAATCCTCATCACCTTTCAGTTAGTTAAAACAAAAGGACTTGAAATTTCAATGGAAATATGGATACAAGGGAGTTTACTTTAAATGAAATAAACATTACATTCAAAAAATGTTTAAATGCTGCTTTTTATGGGTGACAAATCATAGTTTGAATTATGGTAATGCTTAAGTGGATTTATTACTACTTAGCATGTTTAAAGACTGATTTGTTTATTAACTTATTAATTTTAAAAATGACCTTTGTCCCCTCGTATTTAGGGATTTTAGCCATTGGTTTAATTAATGAAGCCCTGGACGAAGGGGATGCCCAGAAGACTCTGCAGGCCCTGCAGATTCCTGCGGCTAAACTTGAGGGGGTCCTTGCAGAAGTGGCCCAGCATTACCAAGACACACTGATCAGAGCCAAGAGAGAGAAGGCCCAGGTGAGTGCCATCGAAATTGTTTTCTGTGCAGAGAATTTCAGCTTTCTAGAACCAAGGTAGGGGTAGGGGCATGTCCCTAATTCACCCGGTGACCATTTCCTGGGCACCCTCAGCCTCGGAGCACTGGAGGGACACAAGGTGTGAGAGGCACGGTGCCCTCTGGAGGCTTGTGCTGCTTTACACATTTGGTTTTTCGTTCTCTGTTACTACTGTAGACACATACCCTATGTCTCTTTAATTCTGTGTTAAAATGTAAGATCCAAAAAACTGCGTAAGTGATTTAAGATTGTATACGTTTTTACAAGTGAACATACCTGTGAATTCAAATTATTGAAAACATTAACAGAATCCTTCTCACATCGCCTCTCTCCCTACCCACTCCTCCTCTCCCAAGGCAGCGGTAACCACTCTCTGGGTCTTTAATACCACAGGTTTTTTGCCTGTTTGAATCGTGATCGGGTGAGGTCGGACATTGTCCACTCTGTGTCTGCCTTCTTTTGCCGACATACTGTTGGTGAGACTCATCCATGCTGCCCGCGTGCAGCAGTAGTTCGTTCTCATTGTGTGTGATGCCGTTGTGTGCTTATAGATTCTATTACTGGTGAACTTTTGGTTGTCTCCTTTTTGGCTGTTGCAAATAGGTCTTCTATGAATATGCTAGTACTTGTCTCCTGGTAAATATACGTATGCATTTTCTGGTAGGTGTACCTTTAGAAGTGGAATTTGTGAGTCATAGGGAATACATACATGTTAAGGTTTAGGAGATAATGCTATAAAGTTTTTTTTAACAACAGCTTTATTGAGATATAATTCATATACCATATGTCTCACCATTTTAAAGTGTACAGTTCAGTGTTTTTTAGTCTGTTCACAGAATTGTGCGACCACCACCACAGTCAGTTGCAGAACATTTTTATCACCCCAAAAAGAAACCTGGTACCCATGAGTAGTCACTCATTTTCCCTCAGGTCTCTCCAGACCAAGGCAACCCTCAGCTTTCTGTCAGTGACTTTCCTGTCCTTTGGAAGCAGAGTCACATAACATGTGGTTCTTTGTGACTGGCTTCTTTCACTTAGCTTGGTTTATCTAAGTTGTAGCATTTTATAAGTATTTCGTTTCTTTCTGTTGTCAAATAATTCATTGTATGGCTGTTTACATTCTATTTACCCATTTTTGAATTGACGGATATATGGGTTGTTTCTTTTTACAGCCAATAAGAATAATGCTACTATGAACATGTAAGTTTTCCAAAGGAATTGTAACACAGACCCATCTTACACAAAGTTTATCTTGCCTTCAGCTAGTTTGCTGAGGAAATAGACAAGGTTTATGCTTCTTTTTATCCTGTTGCTGAATAGGAAATTGTGTTGTATGTGGTAGGCACTCAAATATTAGTTGGAAGATTAAATTAAAGCTTGCTTAGTTCTGTTTTTTTCTAATTGTGATTGATCTCCTTGTAATCATCCTAACAAACAACAATCAGATAGGGAGGGCCACAGCTTCCTTTTCTGACAGGACATTCCTACAGTGTAGCAGGTGGAGGAGCTGAAAGAACTTTGTAATTCAGGGGCTCAGGTTCTTCCTGGGAAGTGAAAGGTAGAAAAACAGACCAGGGCTTTTGCGTTACTGAAATTTTTGTACACTGACACCCACATGGGCTCCATAACCTTGGACTGTGGTAGAGAAATTACGGGTGATACAATGTTGGTAGATCTCCTTTGATTCCATTGTTTCGAGAGTTGTTGACGTTACCGTGTCCTAGTCGTGCATTTGTGGCAAGTACCAGGTTTCATTTAAGAGGCAAATTATTATTCAGAATGTTAGCTGATCCTGTTGCTAGGATTGAGTCACAATTCCTATTTTGTAGCCAGGAAATTGAGACAAAGGGACCAAGGATTTCACTTCCTCAGGTGAGAAGCAGCCGGCTATAGGAAAGCTGTTAAAGGAGGTCTGTTCGATATTCGGATCATAGCTTCCCAAATTTGGCTGATCATCAGAGCCCTTGAAAGTCATTTTACAGACTCCTAAACCCTAACACTGTTTCTGCCGATTCAGCCTCTCTAACCTGGGCCCTGCCTGCAGGGATTCTGTGTAGGCCAGTCGTGGTAGTGTTGGTTTTGCTGCCATGTAAGTTCAGAAGAGACTTGTGTCTGACGAGGACAGTGAGCTAGGTCGGGTTCCGTGTCCAAAAAAGGAGAACAGATTGAGGCTACACCTTGTGCCTGCTCTCACCCAGGCTCTGAGCCTGACGGCTCCTTTTGTTTGGGTCACGGGAGTTAAACTTTCAGAGGATGTGACTAGAGTTTGAAGCATTACCTTTTGCTGTGGAATAATTTTTCAGAGTTCATCAAAGGCGGAGGAAATGGGGAGTTAGAGGGAAATTAGCTTGACACTGCAGGCCCAGCTGGGTATACTGCTTATAGGTGGCGTTATCTTTTTTTAGGCCTTAGTTTAGCAGTTCCTCTGAGCCATCTTGGGAGTGGTTTTAAAAATAATCTGCGTTCTAAATTTAGTAAGCACAAGATCTTTTTTTTCGAGCATATTTTTTTAAATTAAAATCACTAATGCAGAATATCTGATCGCCGTCTGTGGGTAAAACTAATATTTCCAGAATATCTTGCCTGGCTTTAGTACGTCTGCATATCATTAGGCTTTCAGAGGTGGAACGAAATACGGCTTTAGTGCATTTGCATCATTCCTCAGGGGTGGAGAGAAGTTCATCTCCATGTCAATGGGTAATTTCCCAGGCAAGGAGGGCTTATGTGTACTTGAGAGGTGAGGGGAGGGCCGGTTTTGCTTCTGGTGGAGCAGGAAAGAGAGAAGGCCCCGGACTGCAGTTTGTAAGCAATAAATGGGTTTTAAACTTTATTCGTCCCTTTGACTGATTTCGGTTTTTAGAGTTTTTGGCCCAGGATTTCCTCTCCCCAGACTTACACTATCATTTCTATTTTCTTTGTTAACAAACTGTCTCCTTTCTGGGGCCCTTGAGTTTTTTTATATGCATTCTCTTTCGTTTTGCTCAGATGGCGAAGAATACACATTACAACTTTTCTCCTTTAACAGGTTATGGCTTGGATGGGAAGGTAGCTATTCCAGGCATAGTCTGGAGTGTATGATTAAATATCTCCTCCATGTCTTCATCATTCTTGCTTTGTTTTATAGTAATTCGAACTTTTTATTTTTCTCAATTCACCACTGAATCTGTTTGCTCTGTATGTCCAAATTATGTTGTCCAATATTGGAAGAAAAAGTTACTTTCTCAGGGTTGGTCCAGGCTGTGGCTTGGCCTGAGCCCTGTCTTGCAGCTGCAGCTATACTTTGTGGATCTTCGTGCCAGTCAAGCGGCTGGGCGCTGCTTCACCAGCCTCAGGTCATGCTTGTCAGTGAGCCTGATCGCGGCTGCTTGGTGCATGTTTCCCGAGTCTTTGCCCTTCTCATCAAGGATATGAATAATCTGCTCATGGACTTTTCTACCGACGTTCCATTCTTTCCTTTGGGCTTTCTTCTGTCCTGGGTGTCCTTGTCATACTGCAAGTATTTGCATGGATTAGGTGGGGTGGTCTGGGTGCACAAGCAAAAAGGCTCACTGGCGCGGGTGCCGTCTTCTGCATCAGGTACTTGCTGAGACAGCTCCTTATAGTCTTCATAAAGGTTTGTAACATTAACCTCTTTGGAAAGAGTGTGGCCATCCTTTCTGTGCTGTATTTTCTTGCTTTTAGCAATTTCTGCTACTTTCAGTCCTTGTTCCTCTTCTTGGACCTCCTCTCCAGCATCATCACTAACTTCCCTGTGCTGGGCCCAAACAAAAGATCTTAATTTAAATTTGGGCTATAGTTTTCTTGTAATATCTTTGTGTCTGGTTTTGGTGTCTACATCATAGAATGGATTGGAAAGTGTTCTTTACTCTCCTGTGTCTTTGTAGAGGTTGTAAGGGCTTGTGTTAATTTTTCTTTAAATATTTGGTAGAATTCTCCAGTTGTAGAATATGTTTTGATTATGAATTCCATCTATATTTTTTATAGGTCAGTTCAGATTTTCTTCATGTATTCTTCATGCTGCTTCCTGCCCTCTGGGAATTCCATTATGCATCTATTAGTATGAATGATTATGTCTGTAGTTCCCTGAGGCCTTGGTTCATTTTTTTTTTCATTCTTTTTTCTTACTGTTCCTCAAACTAGATATTGTTTTTCAGACCAGATAACTTCAAGTGAACTACCTTCAGGTTCACTGATTCTTTTCTTCTACTGGCTGAAATCTGCCGAGTCCCAGTAGTGAATTTTTCATTACAGTTATCATACTTTGCAACTCCAGAATTTCACTTGGCTCTTTTAAAAAAAATAATTTCTGACAGTAGTCTCACTTGGTGAGACATTGTTCTTGTACTTTTAGTTCTTTAGATGTAGTCTCTTTGCGTTCTTTGACATAAGTCTTTTTCTTCTTAAAGTTCATTTGGACAATTTCTATTGTCTGCTTCTTCTTTTCCTGTTTGGACCTTGCTTTCTTGTTTCTTTGCATGTATTGCAATTTTTTTTTGAAAACTGGACGGTTTTAGTTTCTACCCCCTTCTCAGTGTTTATTGTTATCACTATTATTATTGTTTGTTTAGTGACTTTTAATTCTGTTAAGTTAGTATTGTTTGTCAAGTGTGTCCACTGAAGTCTCTGCTTGTTTAGCTAGTGGTCAGCTAATGATTAGACAGAAATTTCCTTAAGTGCATAGAACCAATAAAGCCCCAGCCTTTGCTGAGGGGCCTGTGTGCTTGTTAGGTCACATCTTCAGTGTTCAGCCGGGCAGGTTAGAGTTCTGCCTTAGCCTTCACTTCATGCGTGCTCAGAGCCTCAAAGGCAGCCAGAGGTGAGAGCTTGTGGACTTATCAGATCTTTTCTGAGCACGTGCACAGCCCCCACACATACTGTGACCTTCTAGATTCCCATCCCAGGAGTAAGTCAGAGCTTATCAAAGCTGTCTGTGGACATTTCATTCTCCAACTTTTTCTTTCAAGGTTTTTAGTTGCTTGCCTAAATTTTTATCCACTGCCCCAGGCATTTGTGTTAAACACATATCTCTTACTGTTTTTGACAAATGCCCCTTGAATAAAGTATGTTTGCACTGGGTCTTACTATGGCCTTCAAAGGAACCACCTAACTGGGCAACTAATGACAGTTCTGGGAATAGATGGGGCTTTGGAGGAGGTATGTGTTGGGGCTGGGGGACACTTGCGGGAACAGGACCATTTAAAGTGCCACAAGCACACTTTAAAGTTGAGATTCTACTGTTTTTCTTGAATAAACTCTCCGATTGTGGCAAGTCTTTAGTTAATTTCTATAGTTATGAAAAAGTTGATTCTGATGATTGTTGCTTTTATGTAGGAGAGGATTTTCAGAGGTCTTTAGCCTACCATTTTCACTGATGTCACTTCTCTCATTTAAATTTAGTGCCGTTGGAATACTTGCTGAAAACAGACTACTAGTCATTGGGTAGTAATGTCTGAATGCAAGACATGGCTATCAGGGATTCTCAAGGAACTCATTTTATAATGACAAATATGAATGACTTTTAAATTTCTCCTCTCCCATTCCACCGTGTGTGTACACAGACACGCACACGTGCATGGAGCCAAAAGTCGGCTGGTATGAAGTGGTTGGAATATTCAGACACTTCCATTTGGTACATTGCTGGCATCCCAACCCGCCCAGATCTGTGCCACCCCCAATTCTAGCTCTGTCCCCAAACTTCCTCTATGCAACAACTAAAGGATTAATACCTAGACCAGCAGACCAGAAGGACTCTGCTCCATTCTGATTGCTCAGTACCTGTGTTGGGTAGTTGATAAATGTGTTGTATAGATTCATATAATGTATGTGTTTACCTGTGCATATGGTACGTATGGCATGATTTATATATATAACACATAAGTATATATGTTTTTAAATATATGGTATGGGATATATGTATGTAATATATATGTAATATTTTATCTGTCATCACACATGCAAGCCAAGCCACATATATAGAGACTTTTAAGGAAGTTTTAGGGGTGAGAAGTGACCTTTAGAGGGGCGTGTGTGCATGTGCTTTCCATACACGCACACACGTGTGCACACACCAGCCATTCTTTCACCCTGTCTCCCGTTCCCTTCCCCATATTTTGTGGCTTCTCTACCTCTTTTACCTACAGTCCTTGCCCACTCCATTTTTGATTTGTATTTCTGGTCCCTATCTCTTTACCTCTTCTGAAAAGTAGTCGGTGCACTTCTGAGTATCAGGGTTGTTAGGGGGCATTATTTCACTGTACTTCAGTAGCATTTTCACACGAAATCTCTTCTATCTCAGTGTTCTCCACAGTGTCTAGCCTGCAGGTTTTAAATCTGCACAGTGATGTGTGTTCATCTTAGGTGATCTCTTTAGAGCAAGCTCCAGCAGGAGGATTGTGGGTTTTGTCATCTCACACTGTCTGATTGGAGCCGAGACAACCTGCTCTTCCCTCACCTGGGGTGAGGTGACGCGTCGGCTCCCTTTGCTCCTTCAGTCTGGTGAGGGGTGTTTCGTGTCGTTGCCCCGATATACCTGTGCACCCACCCTCTATCCTTGCCTTTCATGCTGTAGCTCCGCCACTTGTTTCTCAGAGGAACAGGTATGAAAATTCTGATTTCACTCTTTCGGTTTAGTTTGCATGAGGCAGTGAGGACAGAACTCTGAATGGTCAGAATCCTTGATAAGCCATGCCTTTCTCTAACTGCCAGGAAGCTGGTGCCGAGCCTCCCAGCTTTGCTAACAGTAGATTTGCTTAGAGATAGCCTACAAGTGAACCAAAAATGGATTGGTGCTGTGGAAATACTTCATTGTTTTTGTGATGCAAGGATTTTTATGCTTTTTCTTGTTGAGACTGTACATACTTCAGCCTTCTAGCTTATGACTTCTCAGTTTAAGTTGTCACAGACCTGTATCTGCTTCATTGTATTGTCCCACAATGAAACTGTTGCTTAGCATTTCCAGTATTTATTCAGTGACTCGGGGGGAATTGTGTGTGGCTCTTTTCCATTATCAATAGTAGAAAGTGACTGGTGGTAGGAACATGCTGCATTCTGCAGCTCTTAGATGATTTGTTCTCACATTCTATTTATCTGTTTACTCTTTTCCTTTCCCCAAACTGTTTGCGTCTTAAAATTGGGAGAGGGCCTCAGCAGTTGTAAGCCCAGCACTTACCATAATTTAGTTAAGTGATCTTTCTTTCAAAAACTCTGCATTTGAGATAAATCACTGCTTTCAATTTCTTCTGTTTCCTTTGGCCTTACCCTGTCACCAGGGTACTTTATAAATTGCAGGGATTTGTGACTGCATGGCTCTGCTGAGTGAAATATTGTATCTCTCTCCATAGTCAGGCAGAGGGGAGCCAGGTCTCCTCTAAGGTTTGTGACTTCAGCTGCTGGGCCTGCTGAGGACACTGAAACTTTCTGCTCTGTCCTAAGCCCAGACCTGCCGCACCTGGTAACACAGCCACAGTGTCTGACCCCAGTGCTCACTGGTGCCTTGGCAAATCGTGTTTATGTCAAGTACCCTGAATGGTTTTTGGAGCTGCTCTTTATCCCAGCATTAACTCAAGCCTTAGGAACAGTTAATTTTGTTTGGTCTTGCCAACATCGCTTCAAACCTGACTGTCTCAGCCTGGCTGGTCACCTTAAAACCTGCAGTACCTCACCTTTTCTGGAGGAAGCTTCCATATTAATCAACCGAATTGATGCTTTCTATAAAGACTTTGGAGACACCTTAACAAATAAAGGACGTTTACTCTTTGAGAGAGGTGACACTTCTGTAATAACTTCAGTGGGTCCCCTGAAATCTACGTCAGTATCAGTGGTTCCCAATTGTGACTCTCACGCTGAAAAAGGTAAATGGTAGAGTCCTGCTGCCTCTCCTGACAGAGGTGAGTTCTTGGCTGATCCATAAACTACTTCCCTAAAACGGTGGGGGTAGCTAGATTCTTAGAAATTGGGAGATACTAGAGAAAGATACTTCGGCTAGTCCAGTTTTGTTTAAATTGCCTTCTGGAGCAAATGATCATCAATACTACTTAAAAGAAATTACCTTAGACCACATATAGACAGAGGGAAGTAGCCACCACATCGATTTCATATCTGTCCTCTGTATTCAGCTCCAGCTACACCAGAGTTTAGTTGATCATGCTGAGGAAACAATTACCATTCTATTTCTGGGTGAAATTGGGTTTTTAAGTTGCCAAGAACTGATGTAACATTTAAGTTTTAAAATACAAGTTGGTGATAAGTTTAGATCACCTGTAGTGACTTCTGGCTTTTACATGTGATAAAGTCTGATAGTCTTAAAAACAGTAGTCATGGAGAAAATCGGCTTCCTCTGAAGTCATTGGCAAAGGACACTTTCTCAAAAGTGTTGCACATTCATGTACGTCCCATGGCCCTTTTCCCACCACCGGAGTCCCTGGGTCCTTTCCCGGGTTCCCTTCTAGCTGCTCTTGACCTTCTGGGCCACCTGAACTAATCTTACGTATCTGTTACCATATCTGAAGCATTTCTTTTGTAATCTTTCTCCAGTTTCTTTATGCCTGGCTTCCTCCAGTTGACTATTTCCGGTGTCTTGTGTGTTTGAATCTTCTTCCTCTGTGTTGAGTCTCAGAAACCCCCTTTCTTACATGTATCCTGATTTTATGATTCTAATATTGTTTTGCTTTTAATGGTGTGTAGGAAACCGAGGATGAGTCAGCTGTGTTATGGCTGGATGAAATCCAAGGCGGAATCTGGCAGTCTAACAAAGACACCCAGGAGGCACAGAAATGTATGTATCAGTTGTTTCATACCTGTCTTGGTGGGGGGTGCAGGTGGCAGGGGGCTCCGTGGCTCAGGATTCAGCTTGACCAAGGTAGATAGTTGTGGGGGGGGACCTTTTTGCCAGTAGGATTAGTTAGGTGAACTACCGTGTGAACTTAGACACTTTCTAAACCATTCTCATAACACTTCTCTTCTGTGATAGTTGCCTTAGGAATTTTTGCCATCAATGAGGCAGTAGATAGTGGCGATGTTGGCAAAACACTGGGTGCCCTTCGTTCCCCTGATGTCGGCTTGTATGGCGTCATCCCCGAATGTGGTGAAACTTACCAGAGTGACCTTGCTGAAGCCAAGAAGAAAAAACTGGCAGCAGGTGAGTTATGGGGAAATGAATACATGTCCTGAAAGTAAGAGCATGAACATATGAGGGGAGAGATGGGGGAGGAAAAGGTCAAGCTATTAGGAAGGATACTCTGTTGTAAGAAGTAAGGCTTACTTTAAGACCGTAAGGAGATAATATCTTTATTTTTGAAAATATTTACTTTTTTCCCCCTTTTTAAAAACTGTGTTTAAAAGGTCAATTTTCTAAGAAATGTGGGTAGGATCAAAATATTGTTTATCTTTCACAGGGTTAAGCCTACAGATATAGTTAAAAGGAGTTTTTCTACACAAAGAGGGGACTGAAGATAAGATTTCTTATCCTATTTTGCCGTCTTTTTTTTTTATTACTGAATGGTTACAAATCTTTTATCAGAATAGTTTTCTGACACACAAGGTCTTAGGTTTAGGCTTTGGAAGGAATAATGTTAGAATTAATTCCACAATTGGACTTCATGAGTATTTTCTATTTGTAATGTAGATGTTAGTGAGCTAAACGAGACATTACAAAGCCACACTTTAAAAGGGATGTTGGATGCATGCTCTTTACTCTAACAAATCCAAGGAACAGGTTTTCGGGATGGTCTTTTTTTGTTTTGATTGTTAAACCTGGCCAGATTCATCCTGTAGGATTAGACAAGAATGTGGAGAGTGTGGGTCTCGGTTTCTTGTATCTTTCCTTTGTTTTCTGTCAGGAGATAATAACAGCAAGTGGGTGAAGCACTGGGTGAAAGGTGGATATTATTACTACCACAATCTGGAGACCCAGCAAGGGGGATGGGATGAACCCCCAGACTTCGTGCAAAATTCTGTGCAACTTTCTCGGGAGGAGATCCAGGTAACTCAGATTTCTTCACAAAAGAAGAACTAATATTAGCTCTAAAGTACTAATACTAGCTAGGAAGAACAGGGCATATGGTCAGAAGCCCGAGGCCAAAATTAAGGCTAGCTAAAATGAACTGTTTTCGCGTTATTATTATTTTTTTCCTAATGGCTGGGAGAGTAAGGCCTAAATTGGCAGGACATCCGGATCGTAGAATCAAGTCAGATAAATTGTGTGCTTATTAAAGAAAACTTTGATGATCCAGAAAAGAAAAACGAAAAGGTGCTATGACTACTCATTAAATGCAACTACTGTTAATCTCTCCCAGTTTGCCAAAGTCTCTTTTCTGGCTATTCCACAAACTCCAAACTGTACTGCATTAGAATAAACCTGCACTTTTAAATAAAGGTAGCATTTTTTATAGATGCTTTGCAAGTGCTTTTTTCCCCATCCTGTTTCTTTGCTCTGCTGTTCATCCTCACCAGAATTACTCCTTCCTTCAACAGTTGCTGAAGCCCTCAAGAAGGCACTCTTCTAACAATGGGGAGATAGTTGAGAACAAAGTCCCTCCCCTGCCATCTACACTGGTCGGAATTCTTTCCTCCCAGGCACACCCATCTCAAGTATCACCTTCTCCATGAATCTTTTTTAAATTCTCTCTCCTTCCCTCCATCTTCATTTGAAGTTTCCTTTGTACTCATTTAGAACTTAAACAACTTGGATTTGAATTTCAGTCATGTTTGTACTTGTCTTATACCCACCACTTGTTTTTAAGGGAAGCTACCAAGTTTGCAGTCCTTGTATGTAATGGCTACTTATCTTGACCCTGATGGGCTGGTGAGCACTTACTGGATGTGAGAACTTGCCCAGAAAGATAGAACTAAAGTCTTTATTCCCATTAGGCATCAGTGAGGGTTTATCTGTGCACTGTGCATGACACTGTGGTAAAGTTGTATCTGTCCCCACCCAAGTGTGCCTTCTCATGTGACCAAATGCTCTTCCAGAGCTCCATCTCCGGGGTGACTGCTGCATATAACCGGGAACAGCTTTGGCTGGCCAATGAAGGCTTGATCACCAAGCTGCAGGCTTGTTGTCGTGGATACTTAGTCCGACAGGAATTCCGAGCCAGGATGAATTTCCTGAAGAAACAAATCCCTGCCATCACCTGCATTCAGGTATTTCAGAGCTTGTAATACCGGCAGCAGGTGGGCTGCCAGAGCCGGGCTGGTCGAGAGCTGTGCCTGTGATTGAATGTCTGGGTTTGATTTTTGCCCTCTGGTCTCAGTCTCCCCTGCTTTTGACAAGCCCCTCCTCGCAGTGGTGGCTAGTAGGGAGTTGTCTGGCTCGGTGGCAGTTCTTCTTGGGTGCCTCATTGTCTCCAAGACTGTTCCTTGGTGTCAGACTTGAATATTAGTGTTTTGCTCCAATGACAGGCTAGCACGGTTTCCCGGAACAAGTCCTGAGTTAGCCATTTGGGCTCCGTCACCGCCAGGTGGGCGGGAACCTCTCTAGCTTTGTTCCTCCCCTGTAAGTGGGGCTGCTAGGAATTACCCTTGTGAAGTGCCTCACACCGTCAGGGCGTGCTCTCATGTGGAGGGCTGGCGTGCGCCCCATCCCCGTGCCGATGTGGTCCTTCTTAAAGCTTTGTCATGACCACCACCGGAGTCCCTGGGTCCTTTCCCGGGTTCCCTTCTAGCTGCTCTTGACCTTCTGGGCCACCTGAACTAATCTTACGTATCTGTTACCATATCTGAAGCATTTCTTTTGTAATCTTTCTCCAGTTTCTTTATGCCCGGCTTCCTCCAGTTGACTATTTCCGGTGTCTTGTGTGTTTGAATCTTCTTCCTCTGTGTTGAGTCTCAGAAACCCCCTTTCTTACATGTATCCTGATTTTATGATTCTAATATTGTTTTGCTTTTAATGGTGTGTAGGAAACCGAGGATGAGTCAGCTGTGTTATGGCTGGATGAAATCCAAGGCGGAATCTGGCAGTCTAACAAAGACACCCAGGAGGCACAGAAATGTATGTATCAGTTGTTTCATACCTGTCTTGGTGGGGGGTGCAGGTGGCAGGGGGCTCCGTGGCTCAGGATTCAGCTTGACCAAGGTAGATAGTTGTGGGGGGGGACCTTTTTGCCAGTAGGATTAGTTAGGTGAACTACCGTGTGAACTTAGACACTTTCTAAACAATTCTCATAACACTTCTCTTCTGTGATAGTTGCCTTAGGAATTTTTGCCATCAATGAGGCAGTAGATAGTGGCGATGTTGGCAAAACACTGGGTGCCCTTCGTTCCCCTGATGTCGGCTTGTATGGCGTCATCCCCGAATGTGGTGAAACTTACCAGAGTGACCTTGCTGAAGCCAAGAAGAAAAAACTGGCAGCAGGTGAGTTATGGGGAAATGAATACATGTCCTGAAAGTAAGAGCATGAACATATGAGGGGAGAGATGGGGAGGAAAAGGTCAAGCTATTAGGAAGGATACTCTGTTGTAAGAAGTAAGGCTTACTTGAAGACCGTAAGGAGATAATATCTTTATTTTTGAAAATATTTACTTTTTTTTCCCCTTTTTAAAAACTGTGTTTAAAAGGTCAATTTTCTAAGAAATGCGGGTAGGATCAAAATATTGTTTATCTTTCACAGGGTTAAGCCTACAGATATAGTTAAAAGGAGTTTATCTACACAAAGAGGGGACTGAAGATAAGATTTCTTATCCTATTTTGCCGTCTTTTTTTTTTATTACTGAATGGTTACAAATCTTTTATCAGAATAGTTTTCTGACACACAAGGTCTTAGGTTTAGGCTTTGGAAGGAATAATGTTAGAATTAATTCCACAATTGGACTTCATGAGTATTTTCTATTTGTAATGTAGATGTTAGTGAGCTAAACGAGACATTACAAAGCCACACTTTAAAAGGGATGTTGGATGCATGCTCTTTACTCTAACAAATCCAAGGAACAGGTTTTCGGGATGGTCTTTTTTTGTTTTGATTGTTAAACCTGGCCAGATTCATCCTGTAGGATTAGACAAGAATGTGGAGAGTGTGGGTCTCGGTTTCTTGTATCTTTCCTTTGTTTTCTGTCAGGAGATAATAACAGCAAGTGGGTGAAGCACTGGGTGAAAGGTGGATATTATTACTACCACAATCTGGAGACCCAGCAAGGGGGATGGGATGAACCCCCAGACTTCGTGCAAAATTCTGTGCAACTTTCTCGGGAGGAGATCCAGGTAACTCAGATTTCTTCACAAAAGAAGAACTAATATTAGCTCTAAAGTTCTAATACTAGCTAGGAAGAACAGGGCATATGGTCAGAAGCCTGAGGCCAAAATTAAGGCTAGCTAAAATGAACTGTTTTCGCGTTATTATTATTTTTTTCCTAATGGCTGGGAGAGTAAGGCCTAAATTGGCAGGACATCCAGATCGTAGAATCAAGTCAGATAAATTGTGTGCTTATTAAAGAAAACTTTGATGATCCAGAAAAGAAAAACGAAAAGGTGCTATGACTACTCATTAAATGCAACTACTGTTAATCTCTCCCAGTTTGCCAAAGGCTCTTTTCTGGCTATTCCACAAACTCCAAACTGTACTGCATTAGAATAAACCTGCACTTTTAAATAAAGGTAGCATTTTTTATAGATGCTTTGCAAGTGCTTTTTTCCCCATCCTGTTTCTTTGCTCTGCTGTTCATCCTCACCAGAATTACTCCTTCCTTCAACAGTTGCTGAAGCCCTCAAGAAGGCACTCTTCTAACAATGGGGAGATAGTTGAGAACAAAGTCCCTCCCCTGCCATCTACACTGGTCGGAATTCTTTCCTCCCAGGCACACCCATCTCAAGTATCACCTTCTCCATGAATCTTTTTTAAATTCTCTCTCCTTCCCTCCATCTTCATTTGAAGTTCCCTTTGTACTCATTTAGAACTTAAACAACTTGGATTTGAATTTCAGTCATGTTTGTACTTGTCTTATACCCACCACTTGTTTTTAAGGGAAGCTACCAAGTTTGCAGTCCTTGTATGTAATGGCTACTTATCTTGACCCTGATGGGCTGGTGAGCACTTACTGGATGTGAGAACTTGCCCAGAAAGATAGAACTCAAGTCTTTATTCCCATTAGGCATCAGTGAGGGTTTATCTGTGCACTGTGCATGACACTGTGGTAAAGTTGTATCTGTCCCCACCCAAGTGTGCCTTCTCATGTGACCAAATGCTCTTCCAGAGCTCCATCTCCGGGGTGACTGCTGCATATAACCGGGAACAGCTTTGGCTGGCCAATGAAGGCTTGATCACCAAGCTGCAGGCTTGTTGTCGTGGATACTTAGTCCGACAGGAATTCCGAGCCAGGATGAATTTCCTGAAGAAACAAATCCCTGCCATCACCTGCATTCAGGTATTTCAGAGCTTGTAATACCGGCAGCAGGTGGGCTGCCAGAGCCGGGCTGGTCGAGAGCTGTGCCTGTGATTGAATGTCTGGGTTTGATTTTTGCCCTCTGGTCTCAGTCTCCCCTGCTTTTGACAAGCCCCTCCTCGCAGTGGTGGCTAGTAGGGAGTTGTCTGGCTCGGTGGCAGTTCTTCTTGGGTGCCTCATTGTCTCCAAGACTGTTCCTTGGTGTCAGACTTGAATATTAGTGTTTTGCTCCAATGACAGGCTAGCACGGTTTCCCGGAACAAGTCCTGAGTTAGCCATTTGGGCTCCGTCACCGCCAGGTGGGTGGGAACCTCTCTAGCTTTGTTCCTCCCCTGTAAGTGGGGCTGCTAGGAATTACCCTTGTGAAGTGCCTCACACCGTCAGGGCGTGCTCTCATGTGGAGGGCTGGCGTGCGCCCCATCCCCGTGCCGATGTGGTCCTTCTTAAAGCTTTGTCATGAATTGCACTTGCATAATATATGAAGATGAGATTTTTTTAACTCCCTCTGAACCTTGGGAAGTAATGTGTTGACTCTAATATGTGATGGTTCTAGTCGCAGTGGAGAGGATACAAGCAGAAGAAGGCATATCAGGACCGTTTAGCTTACCTGCGCTCCCATAAGGATGAAGTTGTAAAGGTACGATAGCTCGAGCAAGGTTTCTCGGTGCGTGGGGGTGTGACGTGTTCAGATAAAGGACTCTTATAATTTTCAGGATCCCTTTTCCATAGATTCAGTCCCTGGCAAGGATGCATCAAGCTAGAAAGCGCTATAGAGATCGCCTGCAGTACTTCCGAGACCACGTAAGTACCCTCGCTTAATAAGCAGCAGTAGAATCAGTTTTGCTCGGTTGTTGGTGGACAGATGAACAGAGGACTTTCCTCTTCTTTGTTCCTTAGATAAATGACATTATCAAAATCCAGGCTTTTATTCGGGCAAACAAAGCTCGTGATGACTACAAGACTCTGAGTGAGTAACTGGCTCAGCAGAGAGGAGTTGAGGCAGTGGTTGAGAGCCACCAGGTTCTGGGGCTTCTCCACGGATCTCTTTTCTTGTCCTGAAGGCAAGGCTTGGGGGGTCGGATGCTGCTTGTGACTGAAGCCCCTTTGCTAACCTGTGGCTGGATGTCTCGTTGCTTGCATTGCCCACCTTTGTCATAACAGCGACACCATGACTGAGAAGGCCGCGCTTGGTGGTTGTCTTTGCACCTGTCAAAAATAAACGAGTATTTTAACGTGTGACTAGAGCTATTTTTTCAAGATGGCACTGTTTCCTAAGACTTACAACTTTTTCTGATAATTTCATCCTTTGTCTGATGCATACTTTCTTTCTGTCAGTCAATGCTGAGGACCCTCCCATGATTGTGGTCCGAAAATTTGTCCACCTGCTTGACCAAAGTGACCAGGATTTTCAGGAAGAGATTGATCTTATGAAGATGCGGGAAGAAGTCATTACCCTCATTCGTTCAAATCAGCAGCTGGAAAATGACCTCAATCTGATGGATATCAAAATTGGACTGCTAGTGAAAAATAAAATTACATTGCAGGTAAGGCCAGTACGAGCAGAGGCCTCAAAGCACGTTGTCTAGGCAGGCAGTTTGACCTTCCTCATCCTTTCTGACTTATAGGAGAAGCGGGTAGAGGCTGGCTTTCTTCTCAGCTAATGCCATAAGCTTTAAAAAGGTTATATCAGAAGTTAAATCATGCAATTCCAGAATGTTAAATAGAGAAAGAAGAAGATAAAAAATCATCACATTAATTCTACCACCCCATTATCATTTTGTATTGTACAGTTTTACTTAAGATGCTTTCCTTATGGCAAATAGTAATAAATGTTATTAGGTTGTTTTCTAAGTTTTTATTATTACAAATAACATTGTAGTTGATATTTCAATGTACACATAAGTTTTATTATATTTAAAACTTTGTTTTTAAGATAGATTCCCTGATGATTTCATGAGTCAATGGACATTTTATGGTTCAGGTTCTCGAAAGGAAGGTGGAAGTAGGAATGGATTTGATTGGCATACCAGAAATAGGATGCAGTGTAGTGCTTCTAAAAGTTTAATGGGACCTGCCAGTGCAATAGATCTCCATGCAAGTTTCCAGGCACTGATAGACGTTTCCACAAAGTCCAAAGTTTTATCTTTGAAAGCTTTTTGATTTATGTAAATGTTTTTGTTTCCAGGATGTGGTTTCCCACAGTAAAAAGCTTACCAAAAAAAATAAGGAACAGTTGTCTGATATGATGATGATAAATAAACAGAAGGGAGGTCTCAAGGCTTTAAGCAAGGAGAAGAGAGAGAAATTGGAAGCGTATCAGCACCTGTTTTATCTACTGCAGGTGAGTGGCTTCTGGAATTGGTATTGTAAAATTTAGCTTATGTTTCCGCAAGAAACCTTATCCATAGATCTCTGCGGGAGTGTTTCTGATCTCCATTGAGGGGTGAGCAAGCCTGACTCATTTTTCTTCCTTATGTACCTTCTAATTCTTCACGTTTAAAGATCTTGAATATTTGTGCCAGCCAGTGTATTATCTAGAAAATACTTATCCATTGATTTTATTTCAGACCAACC